ATTGGTTGCGTACGACTATATATGTTGATGCATACTTTCTCGTTTTGGGTAAACTAAAAAATGCAAGCATTCCATACAATACACAGTTTCCCCCAAACACTGCTCTAACGATCCAGTCCACTGGTGACTTGATCATTTCTCGCGATTCAGTCGCACGATTCATGGATGTAGCTCATCATGTACTAAGCATCCGAAACACAACATGTTGATTCTCACATCGCGATGCGTTTAATATGCAATGAGCTTAACAATCAATATTAAATGACTGATGCATCGTTACATCCCTAGCACCTATCACGTCCTCTCTCTACCCTGGATCCATGAACTCCTTCATGATCGCACTTGTACTGTGTATGGCTATATATGTGTGTATGAGCATCAAAGATCCCCCGTATATCTTTCACAGACGTTTGGGGCAAATGCTGTTAGCGAGCACCTATGAAGGCCGGCACGGCACATGAGGGGGTGGGTGGCAAGCACCACGCCTGACCGCCTTTGTCTCCATCATGGTGATGTGTACACACCACACGAGGTACTCATTTGAGGCTGAGTCGACCTATGGGAGCCCCATGACTGGTTCAGGTAATCGTCACTGGTGTTGGTGGGTGTGAGCAGGAATCGAACTCGGGCCGCTGGGTTTGTAGCGCAGCGTAGCGCTAACCCCTACACTACCGCTCTGTATGATGATCAGCATTGTCAGCCATGATCTATTCACTGTCAGATGAGGCCTTACAAAGTCATTGCCCGTCCCTCGCATTTTCGTGATTCAACAATTCATCCGGGTTCTGCGCATATTTATCTTGAGTCCAACTAAGCAGCCTTCTTTCTTAAGTCCTCCGGTCATTTTCTTGGAGGTCATTTCCATTAGGTTGTTGTCAGCGAATATAACAAGGTTGATAATTATTTCATTTTTGTTAAATGCCTTTTATTTCTCAACTCCGATGTTTGTAAAATATCTTTGATTGTCGCCATGAGTAACTTTGGCAAGAGCGTGTCCCCTTACCGGACTCCCCTTCTGGTAAGGATTGTGTTACTCTCTTCATGCAATTTCGGTGTACCTGCTCTTGGATTTTGAAACATCTAAATGTTATCGAAATGTTGGGGTTTTTTACACCTTGGTTTGTGAGACCTAGGATGACTAATCCATTCCAGTGAGTGCAATGCCCTTTCATTGTCCACAAAGCGAGTTATAATAATAGTTTATACGCATTAGTCTGTTGATTGACAGTGCTTGTATGTATGATAGTACGTATAAGTATAAAAACATTTGATAAGTGTGTGTAGCGGTTTGCCTGCTGTGCTACGATCTCGGCAACCCGAATTCGATTCCCGCTCATCGCCAACACCAGTGACGATTATCTGAATCAGTCCTGGGGCTCTCCTAGGTAGATTCAGCCTCAAATGAGTACCTGGTGCGGTGTGTACACATGGCCACTAGAGAGACAAAGGCGGCCGGGCATGACGTTGGCCACCTACCCCTCGTGTGCTGTGCCAGTTTTTATACGTGCTCGCTAACAGCACTTGCCTTAAACGTCTGTTAAAGCAACACAGGGTATCTTTGTCTTTGTACAAGCACAAACAAACTTCGTTTCCATGGACAGCCCACTTGAGGTCAGATCTCGAGTTGATCTGAAGTGGCTTATTCTCAAATTATGAACAACTCCAGTTGTTTAACGATAGTAACACTTTCATGATTTCCTGAATTTCTCGATTTCCCACTTGGGAGTGGGGATAGGTCTGTGCCGGGATGTTATGTTTCCCTTAGGCCTCAATTCTGGTGTAGAATTCAGGCCAAGTCCGAGGAGCGAAATCGCCCGAGAAAATTGAGGCTCCTGCCAGGATTGGCAGCCAACTGGCATTGCCAAAACCATGGAAACACAAGGAGGCGAGGGGAGGGAGAGAAATATGCAGAGCTCACTCAAGTTGTCTGCTTCACTAACCGATAGGAGTAAAAAGTGTAGGAAAGGTAAGAGAGCCACGAAATTAAACAAAGTTTGTAAATACAAATTGAAATCCCTCGATACAATTGGATGTAAAAAACAACTTTTGTTACACGGGTAAGGAGAAAAGTTACAATTCACATTTGCTAATGGGGTTGTATCCAGCAATAATCTTTTGCCTATGTATATTTTTTGGAAGGAAGATTCACGATGTTAAGGGAGGAAACGAGGTTTGTTCCAAAACGTTGGTGCTGCAGCCACAAAGGCTTTGTCACCTACTCCAATTCGTGTTCTTGGATGTGTACACTGCACGTGCGTATATGTATGTATGTCTGATTCCCGTATGCGATGTGTAAACATCGCAACTGGGGAGACAAATGCGGTCGAGCGTGGTGCTGACCTCTCACCCCCCTTGTGTGCTGTCCCAGCCTTCATAAGTGCTTGCTATCAGCACTTGCCCCAAAAGTCGGTTAAGGCTATATGGAGGATCTTTGTCTTTGTGTATATTTGCATGGCATGTACTTGCTGACGTAAATGTGTGTGTATGGAAAGCAGTGGTTTGCACACTGCACGGTTTTCCCCGGTGACCTAGGTTCGATTCCCAGCCACAGACAAAATCAGTGGCAAGTAAGAGCTGAATATGTCTAGATCATCCCTTAGGTCGACTCAGCCTGAAATCAGTAACTACTGTGGTGTGTAAAACATCAACACTGGGGAGACAAAGACGGCTAAGTGTGATGTTGGCCACGCCAACAATTTGTGTGCCATGACAACCTTAATAAGTGCTTCTGGCACATTTTAATAGGTGCTCACTAACAGCACTTCAGTCTTTAAGAAAACAATTGAGATCTTTGAGTCTGTGTGTGACCTTGCTAGTCATCACCATTAGGCCGGACAGGGAGTGGGGTTCAAAGTCCCATTGGGAGTTCTTGTTAGGTAACCTCGTACAGCCATGAGATTCTTAGGATTCCTTGGCTCATAAAGCTATTTTAGGTTAATTTGTAATTGTAGTTGTATAATATCAGTAGCTCATAGAGACAGACTTGGGCTCCCTTGAGGTTCTGTGTCAATGGCTCATAGATATGGGAAAATACTGTCTTATGGTTATATTTTTTTATGAATCACCGTCGATGCTCTGTGCTTATCCCAACTCAGGTTATTTATGGACCAAGCTCCACCAGGAATGCTATAACTTGTTAAATTCTTGCAATCAATCATTTGGATATGCAATTCCTGTAAGCGCTGTTGGGCTTTGTCCATGTTTATTTTCCCCGAATATAGCTTACGAATATCTCTCGACAAGGAGGTTATTTAAAAATGAATTGTTGTTTTCGAAAATGTGATGTGAAGATGAAACACTGATCCCCATCATTGGAATGTGGAATGTCCACTACTGACCCAAGTCTTCCAACAGAATTAAGTGCCACCCAAAACTTGTTTGGGCAGGGAGATATTTTAACTTCACCCTCACTGTTGAACACAGGACTACCTAGGTCCTGTCATAGAAATATGGAATGTCAGTAACTCAATGCCACCCATTAGAAACGTGCGTTGAGGGCATTTGCCTACTGCTATGAGTTTACACATGATAAGCCACTTCACTGAGCTATCATTTGTGGCCAGGCCACTTCTGAAAAAGAGCTATACAGCTCAATGAGCCTTACCTGGTAAAATAAATAAAAAGTTGAGATTAAATTTTGATTTAAAGCTTTCGTGACTGCAGGGATTCATATTCTTGGTTCTTTCGGTAAAGTCACCACGTAGAAGGGAAATGATAAAATAATAAAAAATACAAAACAATAAAATTCTCACGACGTTTCGACTGCAACACAAGCAATCACCTGATGACGGTGATTGCTTGTGTTGCAGTCGAAACGTCGTGAAAATTTTATTGTTTTATATGTTTTTATTTATTTATTGTTTCCCTTCTACGTGACTTTACCGAAAGAACCAAGAATATAAGTCGAGATTAGTTTAATGAGGGGTTCAAGCCCTGGGGCTGGGTGTCTCTCAGGATGTTCATAATGGCTGTGTCAGTGTCACTGAGCTGGCGCTGCTGAATTTCTGGATTTTCAGCCGTGCGTTTCTAGTGACTCTCGTGGGCTTCATGATGGTCATGTCAGGACTTTCATTGTGGCCTTTTCGCAAAGCCAGAATCTTGCTGAGTTCCTGTGGTGTAACCCCTAGTCCTGTGAATATCTCGGTCTCTCAGCAGGTTCATAATTGTCCAGGTACTTGAGTATAATACACCAATTCACTCCCAACGTCCCTCAACGAATGTATTAACCATCACGATTTGGATCTCTACCTTACGATACAGTATCTCATGTGCATCATCTGCCTTTCTTGTTCGTCTTTGTACTGTATGCTACATCTATCTTGTGTTATTACGCAACTCGTTTGATTTGTCTATTTTGTATTGTCTCTATTATTCTGTATAGTCTGTACTGCCTGTCTCATCTGTTCTATCTAATTTGTTTGTATGTGTTTGTACCTGTCTTGATTGCAGGGTCGTTCTCATTTGTAGTCTCCTCTGTGCTGTCTGGAATGTTTGTATAAGTCTCGTTTGTATCTTTTGACTCATGGGCACTGTCTGCCTCGTTATTTTGTCTCGTGTCTAATGTTGGTCTCCTCTACAGCCTTCATTTTCCACAAAATAGTTGTGATTCATATTCTTGGTTCTTTCCGTAAAGTCACGTTGAAGGGAAACAATAAAATATGTTTTATATTTTATTATTTTATTGTTTCCCTTCAACGTGACTTTACCGAAATAACCAAGAATTTGAATCACTGCAGTCACGAAAGCTTTAAATCAACATAGTTGTGATTATTGTAACAAATGTATTCGAACCCAGGATCTCAGCAGTATCAGCACAGTGCGCTCACCTCCGAGCCACGCAAACCACCTCCTAAGAATGGATGCGAATGGGAGGATCGTTACCGTTTTAATTTGATTGCGAATGGATCATTCGTGAAGATCTGAATGGACGTCTCCCGTCACGCCTTAATAGAAACTCTCGTTACCCACGCGGCGCTGAGTGATGTTGCCGTCTGCCCCAGGTGAGCGGGAGGAGGGGGATGGAGTCTGTGACGACGTGCGTCGCTGTCACGTGGTTGCTGCTCATGGCGTGCACCCCTCCTGGCTCAGGTGCGGTTGCGAGCACTCTCACGCGGCGTGCTGCCTTAATAGGCGCTTGCTAACAAGACCGCGGCACAGCAGTCTACCTTGCACTGTATGGGGGGGGGGGGGTTCTTAATAGACACTGGCTAACAATAACTGGATATCCATAGCTCCTAAACAAATTTCAGCACCGACATGTGATGTATATTGTGGTCTTAGTTACCAGGAAGGGGGTGGCTGGGGAAGGGGGAGTGGGGATCAGTGGTCTTGGTACTAAAAAGGTTGAGAACCACTGCTGTAATACAACCGTAACCTATTCCCCTAACCTACAGCACTGACTACTAACCTACAACCCTAACCATGACCAACAGCCTTAACCCTTAACCCATATCCCTAATGCTGACCTGTAGTTTTTAGCCATACCCCTGACCTAGACTCTAACCTTCACACTGCAGGTTCTGGGTCTCCCCCGGTCCCCACAAACCTCTCCTTTGTCTCCGTCAACTTCAAGACGCTGCTGGAGTGGCAAGTGGAGGACACGGGCATCCCGGTCACGTACGACGTGGAGCTATTGGGGTGAGGAGGTGACGCTCTCCTCTGTGCAGTGGGGAGCGGTAGTGTAGTGGTTAGTGCCCCGCGATAAGAGCCCGGCGACTCGAGTTCGATTCCCACTCACGGCCAACATCAGTGACGAATTTCTAAACCAGTCATTGACCTTCACTTGGTCGACTCAGCCTTAAATACGTATATGGTGCATTTGTGTGAACATCACTGCTGGGGAGACAAAGGTGGTTGGGCGTTGGTGATAGCCACACCAACCCTCTTGTGGGCAGGGGGCGGCCTTCATACACCTGTGCTCACTAACAGCACTTGACCTGAAAGCCTTGACAGTGGCGGGGGGGTGGGGAGGCGTCTTTGTATCTTTTGTGAGTTTTCGTGCGTGTGCACACATCTAATGCCTGTGTGTGTGTGTGTCTGCACGTCAGTGCAACGTGGACTACCTGGGAGCAGAAGGCAGAGTGCACCGACTCGATAGAAACGACCTGTGACCTCACGAGCATCATGGCCGACCCGCGCTTGTCATACCGCGCTCGTGTGCGTGCCATCCCGGGTGGTTCCAGCGCAGTGCACACCGTACCCTGGGTCATGTCGCCCTCCTTCGTGCCCTACGACAACAGTACGGTGATACCACGGCATTCCATAGCATACCATGGACATAGGATGACTGTACAAAGATATCGCAGTTTTATGATAGCAGGTGCATTTGACAATTTCACGCCTGTACCACAGGTTTTCGCAGGTGTACAATGAGATCACGGGCTCCTTCGATTAGCATGGTTGCCTACATACAGTGCTAAAGAAGATCTACATACCAATACCAATACCCACCATTCGACTCTAAGTGACGGTGACGTCACGATGCCGCCTGTGCCAGGCCAGGCGCACTTTGAGGCCACGTGAAGTGTCGAAGGCTCACTGACAGGTCTCGGGACAGACCCAGGTGCCATGGGTTGGCTGACTGGTAGATGCACCAGCTATACCCCCTACTGTGCCAACTTGCTGTATTTTAGCTGCCCGGCACTCCGCTCGTTGTTGTGAGCGTCGCTCCTCTGCCCTCCGTTGTTGCTGGAGGGCGACTGCCTCCAACTGCCCAGTAGCAGCGTCCTTCACGAGCCTCCTCCATAGAGGCCGATCTTGACACCGCTGGTGCCAGTCGTCGGCAAGTCCACTCAGCTCCACATACTCCTGTACCGCATCACTCCATCTCTTCTCTAGCCCATGTCATGCCCGTTTAGCCCCCTCTATGCGGCCAAATTGAAGCTGCTTGGGCATGCGGTGGCTGAGCATGCGGCTACATGGCCCAGCCAACGCAGCCTTGCCTACCGGAGGAGCTCACTGATGGGAATATGTCCAGATCTTTCAAGGATTTGTGAGTTCCTCACACAATCCAGCCGGGTTAAACCCAGGATGGATTATAGGCAGGCCAGCCTGAATGTTTCTAACTGGAAAAGATGTGCCATTAGAGGGGTCCACGTTTCACAAGCATAGAGAAGGCAGGGCATGACTGTGGCTGAGAAGACGCAAAGCTTCGTGCGGAGCAACAGACCAGATAGCTTCCACACAGCATTACGCAGCCGATGAAAAGATAATGCCGCCTGACTAATTCGGAGTGAGACCTCTGCTGTCAAACCAGAGCTGGTCATAAGCACAATGCCCAGGTATGGGAACTCTCCACTCTCTGCACTACTGCTCCATCACCAATGGAGAGCTGAGGGGGTGGAGTGTTTGGTGGCACAAAATACCCAGGCAGTTGCTTAGTTTTGGTGGAGCTGATGGTAAGACCCCACCTCTTATTGGCACCAGCAGCACCTCCAACTCCTCCTCTGAGTGAGCAGCAATCACCAGATAATCAGCATACATAACATGGTTGACGAATAGGCAGCCATCCCTCAACCGCACCCATGCATCGATCAGCCTCCCATTGTATCTGTACCAGATGGAAATTCCCCCGGTACAGCCATGGAAAGCTTCTCGAACTACGTGGTCAAAGATGATGTAGAATAATGTGGGAGCCAGAGGACATCTCTGTCGCACCTCAAGGTGAACAGGGAATGGCTCCGACTCCATAAAGTTCTACATACATACATAGAGGCATGTCAATCATGTTCCCACACGCACACCAGTCACAGCGGTGCCGTCGTGCTGGGTCTAACAGCACGACTGTGCTGGTCATGGGGCGGTAGGCTTACCGCACTTGGCAAAACTAACAAACGGGACACAGAACACTGCCTTACCCACACGTCTCCATATCTCTGCACTGATGGCATCATCTACAAATGTGTTTGTGCACTGGAACTCGTGTCTCCGTGTCCTCGTGTCCCCATGTCCTCTTGATCCTGAGTCTTCCTCTTTCGATGCCCCTGTGCCCCTTTGATTCCTTGTCTTGCTATTCCCATGTCCCTGTGTCCCCTGGATCCTGCGTCTCCATGTCCCCATGTCCCATGTCCCTTTGTTCCATTTCCATTTTCCATTTATTTGGTATAGCCCTGTGAGCCATTCGGCTCCTGAATCGGGTGCAACCGCAACAAACAAAAAACAAAAACATGAACAAGAAAACATCTTAAAGTGACTGTGTGACTGTGCAAACATGTCTTGCTGTTCCCATGTCCCTGTATCCCCTTGATCCTGTGTTTTCGTGTCCCCATGTCTACATCTCTCCACGAGCAGCTGAGCTTGGGAAGCCACAGTTCGAGGCAGTCGGGCGGAATGGGAGCATCCAGATGAAGGTTGCAGACCTGCTCACGCCCTACTTCAACATTGACGGCAGCCACAAGACCATGGGCGATATCTACAAGGGAGACCTCCACTACCACCTCACCTACTGGAAAGACGGCAGCAGCGGACGGGTGGGTGGGTGCACGAGGGAATGTATGGGTGAGTGGGTAAGGGAGTGGGTGAGTGAGTAAAACAGTGAAAGGGTGGGTAAGAAAGTGTGTGGGTAAGTAAGTGGATGAGCGGTGATGGTGAATGAGTAAATTATAGAGTGGGTTGATGGGCGAGTTGTGTGAGTGGACAATGAAGTGAATGGATGGGTGGGTGAGGAAGTGGGAAGAGGGAGTGAGTGAGTGTGCGTGAGCAAGAAAGTGAATGGGTGGGTGAGTGACTAAGACAGGTGACTAAAGACTGCAAGAAATAAGCACTGAACTCTCAAATCACATTATGAAAAATGTAACACCAAATCCAGGGCCCAATCACAGCAATCAGCAACTCGAGGACGGACACAGCAGGCCCAGGCTAGTCCTTCTTGAGAGGTAGCCTGGGCCTGCTTTGAAAGAGGACTTTCAAATACCTTTTGGTGGCCACACAAACACACAGCTCGGTGACTTCTTCATATCAAGTGGCTGAGCGCGAATGTACATTTTAATAATTATTATCACAGTGCTGTTCATCAAGCTGAACGTGTTCTCCTCCATTACCCGACTGGTGTGGCTATGATGCACGCAGTTACAGGTAATTGTGGTTTGCGGGTCGTTTTGAAGTGGTAGGCCTCATCTGCCTGCGGGCCGCGCGAAATGAAGTCACAAGCGATAGGTTCCCTGCCCCGCTTTAAGCTAATACTGAGAGGTAGGTGTTTCTCTCAGATCTGAAATCCATGACTTAAAACCCGCCACCAATAAATGTGTAAACACATTTTACCCAAAGAATTACCGAGTCGTAGTAATCTGGGGAACAAATCCTGCAAGTTTCATCAGTGCCTGAAAACTGTCCGTGCTTACCACACGCGTATAGTGTAATGCGTAACAGTCAAACACCAAACTTGCCACACCTCCAAGCATATTTTACACCCTACAAAAAGATAGAGATGCTCTGTGTACCCTGACGGCTGTGAATTATTATGAAGTTGTCCAGAGAAAGTTGCGGCGAGCAGACGCGCATCGTTTTTAACAGCTGTGCATGCATTATTTTGTCACAAGTGGTGTTTTAGCGAACACCTAATGAAGGCTGGAACAGCGCACGAGGGGGATGTATTGGCCAAAATCACCCCCGTCCACCTATTTCTGCCCAGTGCTGATGTTTACATGCCGCACCAGATACTCATTTAAGGCTGAGTGAAACTATGGGAGGCCCAGATTCGATTAGGATATATTTTTCATAATGTTAGCCATGTCCAGGTGAACAGGTTCGTAGCACAATACGGTAACCATTACACCGCCATATTTATACCCTCATAATCAGCTTCCTTTATTTATGTCAGGTTCCGCTGAACAAATTTCTGCCAGAGGTCTCTTTCCGTAGCCAGTCACTGCTTCGCTCTTTCTCAATCCTTTCCTTCTCACACTTTATGGCTGCATCTATCTGCCTGGATTTCTGTTTTTCATCTACACCTGTTTAATTCAACTTTTATTGTGTGCAACATTGCCAAGTACCACATCCTGTTTTTGGGCTCCTTCTCGTAATGCATACAAACCACTGTGTTGTCCTTTATTTGGTGTCTTGAAACGTTTACACTCTACGCACGCTCACAAACATGTCCACCAGTGACACAGGCCAGACACACAAATTCCTGAGCCCGCCAGAGAGAATGGCCTGCACGGTTGTAACTGTAAACCGGGAGAGGTCGAAACATACAGATCTACAGTAAAGGAAGGGATTATTTTTTTCCCACAATTTGTCAATTTGTGAGTCACTCTTAAAAAACTGGTCATAATCAGAATATGTATTAATACTGGAGGAATACAATGAGCTATAAAGCTCTTTTTCACAGATATCCAGTATGGGCATGGGGTCAGAACGAACGGTCGAAGAGGGAGAGCAAAAAGGTAGAATTATTGGGCCCACACGGGTCTCCCGTCATAGCCCGAGCGAAGTGGCCGGAGACGTTGGCACCTCATGGCGTCGCCATCTTTTGCACAGAGAAAACCTAAATACGTTTCTTAGCCCAGGGTCTATCACAACTGTCCTCATCCCCATCACGATGCATGGGCAGGTAGCCACTGCAAATTTCGTCATTCATTTCCAGTTGCCTCTGTGTTGTGCCAAAATGCTCAAGTAATAAAAACTGTCCAGTAAGCTATTGTGTAGTTCAACGCAATACCATCAGTTCTCGGGAAACATGGACTCCTGGGCAGCAGGGTTTTGCATCGATAACACTTCTTGCTTCACATCAAGAAGAGCCTTGGTTCATTTCTTGACATGCGTGCCTTTCTGCGTTAAGTTTGTATGGTCTCCCTCTGCATGAGGTTGCCTCTGGCTTCTACAGTTTCGTTCTATAGCTAAAAACATCCTCTGTGGTTGGTGTTAGCCAAACATACCATTCGGTTCAATCTTGATTTGAAGCTTTCGTGACTGCAGGAATCCATACTCTTTGGTTCTTTCGGTAAAGTCACGTAGGTATAAAATAAAATAAATCACGACGTTTCGGGCGCAACACAAGCGTCCATCAGGTGGGAAAGCTTGGTCTGCCTCAGCAGCAGCAGACCATGGCTTCCCACCTGATGACGGACACTCGTGTTGCGCCCGAAACGTCGTGATTTATTTTATTTTATACCTATGTGACTTTACCGACAGAACCAAAGAGTATACCATTCGGTGTTTCGATGTCTAGGTGTTGATTTGTATTACTCAAATGCTCTGGCAATACTGGAGCACTCCTGTCATGCCATTACACCAAATTGGTGTGAGTTAATGGGAGAATGAAAGATTGCATTGGTGGATGAGCGGGTTGGTGATAGAACAGGTAAGTGCGTGGGTGAATAAGTGAGTGGATGGACGAGCGAGTAGGTAAGTTGTTGCGCGTGTGAATGGGCGAGCGAGTGAGCAAGTGAATGAGCGAGCAAGCGAGTGGGTAAATTAATGAGTGAGCGAGCAAGCGAGTGTGAGGGCGAGCTGGGCCTGCATGCAATCGGACGAGTTGGCAAGCGTGTCCGCCTGCATGTGGGGCGAGTGTGGGCAGAGCCTAACCCAGGATTTTCCCAATGTGGTCGATCTATTGACTACAAAACTGGAGTCACTGCATTCCTGTGGTCCTCCTGTTGTGCCGGTGTTGTGTTATCTGTTGTGTGAGTTTATCGCGACTCACCTCCGTTGAGGTGGCGGGACCGCCACTCCCTCTTCTGGGAAGCGACGCCCTTGGCCTCCTCATCACGAAGTTTCCTTTGAGGTCGCGCTTCAGGATGCAAAACCACTTAATCTTCCTCTGGCCTCGACAGTGATGCTGTCGGCAGCAGCATCATTGTTCAGCATCATCAACAGCAGCATTCCCCATCACCATTGTGCCATCATCAGCAGGAAAGTCGCTACCATCATCCTTGCAGAATGATTCTTGACATCAGCAGTAGCAGCATCATCATCAACATCGTCACCCTCAGCAACACCTGCTGCAGGTGAACAGTCATCATCGGCTGGAGTAAAAACATCATCATCATTCACCATCATTACACTCAAAGGAAAATTGCCTCCAAAACAAAGCCACTCAGGGATCGACGTCTTCACCCGTCATCCGGCTGCCCACGCTGTATCTGGTTGCTTTGCTCACCAGGTTCTCTTCACGATATCTGGTTGCTATGCTCACCAGGTTCTCTTTGCTCTATCTGGTTGCTATGTTCACCAGGTTCTCTTTGCTCTATCTGGTTGCTATGCTCACCAGGTTCTCTTTGCTCTATCTGGTTGCTATGCTCACCAGGTTCTCTTCACGATATCTGGTTGCTATGCTCACCAGGTTCTCTTCACTATATCTGGTTGCTATGCTCACCAGGTTCTATTCGCTTTATCTGGTTGCTATGCTCACCAGGTTATCCTCGCTCTAGCTAGTTGCTATGCTCACCACGTTCTGTGTATCTGGTTGCTATGCTCACCAGGTTATCCTCACTCTATCTGGTTGCTATGCTCACCAAGTTATATTCGCTCTATCTGGTTGCTATGCTCACCAGGTTCTCTTCACTCTATCTGGTTGCTATGCTCACCAGGTTATCCTCGCTCTATCTGGTTGCTATGCTCACCAGGTTATCTTCACTAATCTGGTTGCTATGCTCACCAGGTTCTCTTCGCTATATCTGGTTGCTATGCTCACCAGGTTATCCTCACTCTATCTGGTTGCTTTGCTCACCAGGTTTTCTTCACTATATCTGGTTGCTATGCTCACCAGGTTATCCTCGCTCTATCTGGTTGCTATGCTCACCAGGTTATCCTCGCTCTATCTGGTTGCTATGCTCACCAGGTTATCCCTGCTCTAGCTAGTTGCTATGCTCACCAGGTTATCCCTGCTCTAGCTAGTTGCTATGCTCACCAGGTTCTATTCGCTCTATCTGGTTGCTATGCTCACCAGGTTATCCCTGCTCTAGCTAGTTGCTATGCTCACCAGGTTATCCCTGCTCTAGCTAGTTGCTATGCTCACCAGGTTCTATTCGCTCTATCTGGTTGCTATGCTCACCAGGTTATCTTCGCTATATCTGGTTGCTATGCTCACCAGATTATCCTCGCTCTAGCTAGTTGCTATGCTCACCAGGTTCTCTTCGCTCTATCTGGTTGCTATGCTCACCAGGTTATCCTCGCTCTATCTGGTTGCTATGCTCACCAGGTTATCTTCGCTCTATCTGGTTGCTATGTTCACTAGGTTATCCTCGCTCTAGCTAGTTGCTATGCTCACCAGGTTCTCTTCGCTCTATCTGGTTGCTATGGTCACCAGGTTATTCTCGCTCTATCTGCTTGCTATGCTCACCAGGTTATCCTCGCTCTATCTGGTTGCTATGCTCACCAGGTTATCCTCGCTCTATCTGGTTGCTATGCTCACCAAGTTCTCTTCGCTCTATCTGGTTGCTATGCTCACCAGGTTATCTTCACTATATCTGGTTGCTATGCTCACCAGGTTATCCTCGCTCTATCTGGTTGCTATGCTCACCAGGTTCTCTTCGCTCTATCTGGTTGCTATGCTCACCAGGTTATTCTCGCTCTATCTGGTTGCTATGCTCACCAGGTTATCCTCGCTCTATCTGGTTGCTATGCTCACCAGGTTATTCTCGCTCTATCTGGTTGCTATGGTCATCTGAGTGCCCTTGTTATTTGGTTGCGATTGTGATTGGGTTGTCTTCATCTGCTTATCGAGCCCATTATCCCTGCATGTGTGTGAGTCCATCTGGTTACTGGGTAGCTGTTGTTTCACAACACCTGTGCATGCGAGGAGGTTGTTGCTGGTTGTTGTCTCATCTTGTTATCACTTTCCTTGCCTGTCTGATCGTCTGCTTTAGCCACACGTGCGTAAGAGAGAAGATAATTTTCATATGGGTGTCTGATTAGTCAGCTTCTTGGTTAGTCATCTGGTTACAGAGTAATCTAGTCACTCTGTAATCTGGCTGCTTTACTAACCGGTTTCCCTATCGCTGTTCTGCATGCATTTGTCATATAGAGAAGGTGTCTGTGTCTCTTATGGAGCAGCAGTGCGGTGGTAAGCACATCGTGCTGCGGACCCTGGCTACCCGAGTTCTATTCCTGTTCGTGACCAATTATAGTGGCAAATATATGAGCCAGTCTTGGTCCTCCTCTAGGTCAATTCGGCCTTAAATTTGTATGTGGTATGGTGTAAATATCAGCACTGAGGAGACAAGTGCAGTCAGGCACGGTGTTGGCTCACTCCCTCATATGCTGTGCCGTCAGTCATTGGTGCTCGCCAACAGCACTTGCCCGAACAGTCTATTAAAGACTATACGTGGCGTCTTTGTCTTTGTATATGAAGAGTGGTAGCACTCTGCACTATGAAGCCAGGGACCTGAGTTTATTAGCCACTGCTAATATTAGTGACAACTTATTGATATCTGAACTGGTACTGGGCCTCCCCTATGTAATTTCAGCCCTAAATGAGTGTCTGACACAGGCATAAATATCAGCACTGGGGAAATAAAGGCTGCCTGCCGGGTATGGCGCTGGCCACACCCCCCCTCGTATCCAGCCGGGCGGTGGTGGCTATGCACGGGGCCTGTAATCCAGGCCTGTAATCCAGCCCTGTGGAGGCAGCGAGAGTGGTGAAACTCCCTTCCCGTGGGTGTCGAGGTGCCGTACCCTGGCTCGCCCTCTCCATTCACAATCCCAGCTGTCTCTGTCCGTTCCCCCTCTTCTCTTGTGCCCAATCGCGATTCCATTCTTTCTCGCCTCTGGCCCCCGTACACTGGAACAAGCTGTCCCCTACACACCAAGCAGTCAGCCTCACCGTCTATTTTTCGTTCTTCCCATAAAACACACTCACTTATTACGTGACTTTACCGAAAGACCCAAAGAGTATGAATTCCTGCAGTCACGAAAGCTTTAAATTTATATTAACTTATTTTCCCTTGCTTACGCAAATTCCCCTTCTCCTTCCCTTCCCCATCACCAACTCCATCCACTTTTCCCAACTTCCCTATCCATTCATCACATTCACTCGTAATTAACCACTCATTGTCACTTTTATCATCGTTTATTTCGCAGATCATCACATTCATGTACTGCCACCCATCTCTTCAACTCATCTCATCTCTGCTATACAAATAGTTGATTATTTGTTCGGCGCCTTCATCACGGCGCTATATACATTTAAAAAAGGATGAGAAGGCGGTACAGCAAGTGGATGAATCTCCATCTCTTTACATCTGTATGGAGATAGAGCGTTGCCCCCTTGCACGGGTGCTCCAGTTTTCTCACGGATGTATAATAAACGCTCATCATTAATTGGCTGAAAACATCTAAACATAAAACCCAATGCAGGACCCTCCTGAAAAGCAGTCGTATGGCTCACCGTGGCTCTCATGAATAAATAAGTTTAAGAAAATTACAGCTCTTGCTTCAACAGGACTTGCCCGAACATGCGATGTGGGCTATATTGGGGGATCTTTGTGTAGATGTGTGCATGTGTTCATGTTTGTGTGGGAGTGAGACAAAGTACCGGGGCAGGTTTTTTGTTTTGGATAGTTGTGGGGAAGGAGGGTGGAGGACGTCCCGTATGTACGCGATGTGCTCATGGGGGCAACTCTGCTTTGTCTTTTAATCGACTGTGTCATGCTGTGTGGCATACTCTGTGGCAGCTGCCTCGCCCATCATTCCACACAAAGTCCCGAGTCTTCACCACACTCATGCTGCCTCTTTTCAAATGCTTGCAAAACGTGGACACTGCAAGTGAACACCTGAGCCACCTCGAAACATTCAGCCGGACCTGCCTAAGATCCATCCTGGGTTCATAATCTGGCTGGATTGTGCGAGGAGCTTCCGGAACCTTGACAGATCTGGACACAGTGCCATCGGCGAGCTCCGGCAGGCGAGGCTGGGTGTTGTAGCCCACGTTCACAGCCAACGCATGCCCAAGCAGCTTGTGTTTGGCCAAACAGGGGGATAAACGGGCATGGCAAGGCTGGAGAAGAGATGGGCTGATGCAGTACAGAAGGCTGTGGGAGTTGAGTGAACTTACCAATGACTGATTCCAGTAAGATCAAGATCGGCCTCTGTGGAGGAGGCTCCTGAAGGAGCGAGCGGCTAAAACACAGCAAGTTTGTACAGTTTGCAGCACACGCAGTGCATCTGGCAGTCAACTCAAGTCAGTAAACCTATCATACCTGGGTGTGTCCCATAACCTGCCAGTAAGCCTTCGACACGTGGCCTCAAGGTGCACCTAGCCTGGGCCAAGCACCATAGTAACACAACGGCAGTTGTTGATCTTGTGTCTGTGTGTAGAAGGACTACCAGTCGCGGCAGGCCGCATTCACGCTGACGGGCCTCGACGAGGGCCAGCTGTACTGCTTCCACGTGCAGCTGCTGGTGGACGCTGACAACACTGAGCGCCGCGGGGAGGAGAGCGACGTGAAGTGTGTGCGCTCGGGGATCGCAAAGCCCGGTAGTGCGCACGTGCACACGTACACACATATACAGCATAGACAAAGTTCTCCCATATAGCCTAAACAGACTGTTGGGGCAAGTGCTGTTAGCGAGCACCTAATGAAGGCCGGCATGGCACGCGAGGTGGTTGAGTGGCCAGCACCAGAACCGGACCTCCTTTGCCTCCCCTTTGACGATGTTTACACATCGCTCCAGGTTCTCATTTGAGGCTGATTTCACACACGCACGTATATGCCTATACAACACACGTGCGTGCATCTACCACACTTGTACACGTATATAGTGAGATACACAACGGCGCTTGCACACACACACACACCACCTCTTCTTTCACTGCTTGTGCCACCTTCTCCATATCCGTCATTGATTACATCACCACTTATGTCTCCAATCTTCACTACTTTCCTGTCTCCGTAATACCACACCTTTACCTCCATGTCCTCCGTCCTCCTCTTTCTCAATCTCCCCTTCATTCACATCCTTACAACCTCCACAACCTCATTATTCTTCCCGTGCCTATTCTCATTCTCCTTCTTTCCTCCCTGTTAGACTACGCGTGGATATTCCTGGTGGCGGCTGGCATCACCGCCCTCATCATCGGCGTCGCCCTCATCGTCCTCATCGTGTGGCTCTGCCACCGCTGCCGCCAGCAACGCAAGTCGGAGCGAAACGGGACGGTCGTCTCCTACACGGCTGCCGCTTCCCAGAGGGGTTAAGTGGGGACTGCCCCCCACCACCACCTCTGACTGACCCCCCCAAGAAACCAAGCAGGACCGACTCAAGGACCCATCCAGTGCCCATGCAAGAACTAACACAAAAGAGACTGTGAATGTACACGCGAGACTGTGGATGGTGTGGATGATGGGGACGACGACGACGATGATGTAATGAATTCTGGTGATAAGGATGATGAAATTTAAGATGATGCCGTTAACAGTGAATGACCATGATGAAAGCTCATGATCATTATTATAAGATGGTGATGGTAAAGATGATGGAAACGACCATGCAGGTGGGTGCATCGACTCCCTTCCATCACCATAATCAAAAAAACCCAAATCCACTCAAATGTAGTCGGAAGTCACGTGACATTGGCTCACGTGCAGAGAGATATCTTGATAAAAGTGAATGGCGGTTACTTTCACTGATCAGTATCCATGGAAGGGGCACAGTTTGGCTCCGAGCTGCCACTGTTCCTACTGGCCCGGGACATGAGACGTTAGTGGGGCTGTTTTTTTTTTAAATTTAGGCTGTGGGCTGAGTTGTACACTGTACTAAATTTGGACTAAATTTGGGTCTGGGCAAGTGGCTCGCCTTGGCTCTCAGCCTAACATCTGATGTGAGCTTAACGCTAATACTGACCTAGGTACCGGTTGTGCGTGTGCATGTGTGCTGTACATGCATGTGTACAGGTATTTGTCTTTGTGGGGTGTATTTCCAGTAAATGTCTATTTATGTACATCTGTGTACAAGTGCGTGTGTATATGTACATGTATCTGTGTGTAGGTCACATGTATGTGTGAATGCATGGACAGGCGACACAATTTAACTGGGTTCGATATCTGGCCATGAATAACATCTTTTACCAGGAATCTGAACCTGTCGTGTACCTCGGTTAGGTCGACTCAGCCTTAAATGAATACCTGACATGGGGGTGTAAATATTAGTACTTGGGAAACAAATGCAGTTAGCTGCGGATCGCAATTACCACGCCACCCCTTCGTGCACCATTCCGGTCTTAATAGGTGCTCGCAAACAACATTTACTGCAAAAGTCTGAGCCTGCAATTGAGATGGTGCTGTTTGGCCAATATTGAATTTACACTCCTGACAGAAGATTGATTAATCTTAGAGTTTAACAGAAAAACACATTTTCCGAGCGGCGAACGGAACAATGAGATAAGTGACCTCAGTCACTGTGGCTTCCTCCAGGCACCCGGAGCAGAGAAAGATAAATATTCCTACGTGTTAAACCAAAGAAAAATATCTTCATATTAAAAAAAAATGTAGGGATGGTTGCATTATTAGGGGTTCAAGGTGAGCATTACGGTTGGTGTTGGGTTTAGCGCAAATGGGTTGGGCTTTGAGTTAGGTTTCGCAGTTATAGTATTCAGGTTAGTATTTGAGGTAGGGCTAAAGTTAGGATTAACAATTGAGTTAGGTTTAGGGCTGATGTTGGTTTTCAGGATACTTTTATGGTTAGTATACATTCACGTTAGGGGATAAGGTTGGTATTCGAGTAAGAGTGAGTGTTCATTATGCTTAATTTTAACAGTTATATTCTCAAAACATTCTAAAAACATCTCGACTGTGTTGCATGTGTATGTCTTTGTATCTGTATGTAAATATCTAAATATATGTATACGTGTGCTTTACCTTTAGGTTGTACATTTAATCTGAACACTACTGGGGTAACAAGTTTACTGGGTTTTAAAATATATTTTTAAGTTTTATTTTCTTATACAAAATGTTTATCTTGCTTTGAACACTGGAAGGGAACAATGTGTGCGTGTGTGTGTGGTAGGTCGACTCAGCCTTAAATGAGTAACTGGTGCAGTGTCGAAACACATCAGCACTGGGGAGGCAAAGGGGGCCAGCAGGCATGGTGGTGGCCACCAAACCCCTTGTCCCGTGCTGTCCTTGATAGGTGCTTGGTAATAGCACTTAACCCAACAATGTGTTGAGGCTATATGGGCAACCTTTGTGTTTGTGGGGTGAGGGAATGGTGTAATAGTTTGCGCACTGCACTACAATCCCAGTGACCTGGGTTCGATTCCGAGTTGCAGTGTATAACATCAGCGATACGTAGTATCTTAACCCTGTATTGGGCCTCTCGTAAGTTGGCTGGGCCATGAATGAGTGTGGAATCTAAACCTAAGCACTGGGGATAAGACGGTGGCTGGGCTTGGTACTGGCCTCATCAACTCTTTGTGAGCCATGCAGACCTCAATGGGTGCTCTATCGTTCTAAACAGGGTATTTGTTTCTGGCTGTAGGAGTTGTGGTGGACACTTCGGACTCTTTTGTATAGTTAAACACCAACCCTAACTTACCACTATTCTCTACCTACAACTCCAAACTAAACTTGAACTAAAAATCCCGTGCCTTGGAGCGATTGATCACGCGCATCTGGTTTTTGTTAAAAAAATAAAAAATGTATGCAAATATATCAAGGACGACAACGACTCTGATTCAGTGTTTTAATTTTCACAATTGGGGATTTGGGGAGGGCGCGATTAGGAGTAGTGTTAAAGTGACTTAAATTGGACGTAAAAAATTGGACGGAATGTTACACAGAAAGATATGCACCAAGACGTGCTTCAAAAACAACGAGACCCAGTGCTTTCATCCTCCTCCTCACAGCTCTTTCAGTGCTCACTAATGTTTTCCATCTCCCCACTCACTCACTCACCCATTTACAAACACCTTCACCAAATGTATGTTAGTTGAACTTCGTTCGCACCGTACATAGCCAACCGCGCTAATCGGAGGTGCGGGTAAGAGCAACAAACTAAGCGCTTAAAAACAGTTCACTCACCTGCTCACCCTTACATCCACCCGTTCCCCCACCTGCTCACCCACTCACCTGCCCACCCAATCACCTGCCTACCCACTCACCAGCCCACCCTTCTACTCATGGATCCACCCTTATACCTATCCACCGACTCTCCTGGCCACTCGACAACTCAGGCCCCTCTTCAGAGAGCTCCGAGGTGCTGTGCCACCAGTGCCAGGCTGATCCCCGTGCAGCCCAGACTGACGAAGTTTGCGAAGAGGGAGGCCTTGTGGTATCGACGGAATCGCCCGACAGCGCGACTGTACTTCTGATCGCGCTGCTCCAGCTGGGCACACTTCTCCTTCATGTCCTTCATGTCCTGCGCGTTCAGCGTGGCGAAAAAACACGACTCTTGGGCGTCAGTGTTCATAGGCAGGTCTTAGTTTCTCACCGAATATTTTCTGGGTTGCCGCTGAACTGGAAGTGGCATGTGAAGAGCAGCCACAGTAATTGCAAAATGTATACTAGATGTGGTGTCCCAGGTGTGGAAATATTTTCCAGGTCACCGACCCGGATAGTCCCAGCTGAAATCAATCTCTCGTCATGGGTCATTGTCCCACTGCTGTACTGTGTATTTTATACTTGAACCATTTGAATTGGATCGACTAACCCCTACATCTCTGTAGGAAACCAGGTTACCCTTGCTCAAAGAGCAGATCAGAAAGCTAACATATCCCTACTCTCAATAGCCGTGGGGCAGTGCTCTCTTTGTAGCCGGTGGTAAATATTCCACATTACTTTGGTGAGGGTCAGGCTATGCGTAATACAATCACTGTTAACCCACCAAGGGGGTGACGACGATGATGTTATATGTGGATCATAAATGATGAATGAGCTGATCTTACCCCCTACTGGGATGTAAACACGTGCATTTTAAAACAATGTTAGTGCTGTGACCACAGTGACACAAACCCTACCGGTCTATACCACTTGTGTTGTGGCCGAAACGTCGTGATTTTTGTTGTTGTATTTTTTACCTACGTGACTTTACCGAATAGAACCAAAGAGTATGGATCCTACCGGTCTAATTAAAGAATGCAAAAATTAATTTAAAATTTCCGTCACACCCACCTGTGATTGGTCGAAAGGTGGCCCTTCCTTATTGATCGGTTGGACGACCTCTTGTCCCAGAATGCCGTGTTCTATTTCTATGGCGGTCATCTTCTCAAGGCTCGTGATGGTTGTGTCGCTGAACCAGCGTGCGTTGAGAGCCCAGCTCACCACGGACACGAGCCACAGCCACATCTACACAGATGTGAGGTTGGGGGGGCGTGCATCGTGAGTGGGGGGAGCCACAAACATACCTGTGGGTGGTTGGAATATGAAGATTTATCAATTCACAAAAATGAATGGTTTATTTATTCTAATTAATTGCAATTGTGTTACTCTTTGGTTATTTCGGTAAAGCCACGTAGAAAGAAAATAAATTAAATAATAGAATACGTTTCGATTGCAATACAAGCAATCGTCATCAGGTAGAAAACAAACCTATTGATCTTAGAAATACAATTAAATACAACACAAAGAGTCGGCTAACACAACAGTCAGCACCTCACCTGGTTGATTACGTTCTTCCAAAGATTGCTAAATTTGAGAAAGAGAGACAAAACACAGACACGGAGACAGACAGAGAGACACACAACATAGACACAGAGTGTGTTTGTTGTGTGTCTATCTGTGTGTCTCTGTGTTGTCTCTCTCTGCTTGTGTGTCTGTCTGTGTGTCTCCGTGTCTGTGTTTTGTCTCTCTCTCAAATTTAGCAATCTTTGGAAGAACGTAATCAACCAGGTAAGGTGCTGACTGTTGTGTTAGCCGACTCTTTGAGTTGTATTTAATTGTATTTCTAAGTTCAATAGGTTTGTTTTCTACCTGATGACGATTACTTGTATTGCAATCGAAACGTCGTATTCTATTATTTAATTTATTTTCCTTCTACTTGACTTTACCGAAAGAACCAAAGAGTAATTCCTGCACTCACGAAAGCTTCAAATCAAGTTTGCAATTGTGTTATCAGCATGAGCTCATAAGATGCGAAACGCAATGCCATCCGCGATTGGTGGGAAGCAAGAACCGAACACTGTGTGCGACTTGCGAGGAAGTGAGAGGCGAACGCCGTCCGCGATCTCCGCGTTAGAAGCGAGCCACGACCTCTGACCTGCACCACCTCCTGCGTCTCGAGCGTCTCGCGCGGGTGGTAGAGAGCGAAGAGCGTGAGGTTGAGGATGGAGCAGCACGAGCCGAGCATGAAGTAGATGGGGAAGAGGAGGCCCTGAACGCTGCGCAGCCACTTCCGCGGCAGGTGCTGACGCATGATGAGACCTGCGGAGAGAGAACACGGGGAGAGGGGGGGGGGCGGTGCATGGGGGTAGGAATGGAGTGGCGAAGTAAACTAAAACTAAACTAAAACTTTTTATGTTACCAGGTAAGGCCAACGGAGCTATATAGGTCTTTTTCAGACGCGACCTGGCCACATATGATATCTCAACGACATGGCTTATCTTTTTGGGAATGAATAGCAGCTTAATACTCTAAAAGGCATGTTTCTAAATGTGGAGGGGGAAAAAACGGAAGACCTGGAGAAAAACCCACACGACCACGGGAAGAGAGACACCGCAAACTCCAAATATACAGAATTCAGGGTTGGGATAGAACCAACGACGTCCTGTATACTAGGCGAGGTAGTTAACATCTAGCCACCGCGGCATCCATGTATCATGAAACCTGAACAGGTGAGAGAACATGGGGGTTGGAATGTGTTGTTGAAAGAGTAGACTTGGGGAGACACGGAAACACGGAAAGAGACCAGATATGGAAGCGATGGCTGAAGCCACAAGGAAACTGAGAGATACGGTGGAGATGTAGGCGCAGACACATGGAGATATGGTGAAAATGTTAGGGGATAATATGGGAAGAGATGAGGAAACGCTGGGGAAGAGACATACTAACACTGGAAGAAACAAGGAGGAGCCACCTGGTTGGGAAAAATTTGGATAAAGCTCATGATGGTGATGATAAAGCATTCATACCTGAAATGAATGTCACCCAGATCCCCATGCCCCACGCAGTGGAGAGGGTCAGGAGGTACAAGAATTTCACCACAAAACCAGGCTCGCCCTCCATCGCCATTGTCGCATACACCTGTACACACCTGTACACACATGCACAAAGACAAAGATCCCCCTATAACCTTCACAGACTGTTGGGGCAAGTGCTGTTTAGCGAGCACCTTTGGTCGGCACGGCACTCGAGGGGGTGGATGGCCAGCACCACGCCCGACCACCTTTGTCTCCCCAGTTGCCATGTTTACACACCGCACCAGGTACTTATTTGAGGCTGAGTCCACCTAGTGGAGGCCCAGGACTGGTTCAGATAATCGTCACTGGCGGTGTTGGCCGTGAGCGGGGATCGAACCTGTACAGACACACACACACACACGGCCAGCCACACTTGTACAACACAATACTGCCTCATTGCTGTAGTGTTTTTATCTTATTGCTTCTGTCAATTTGGTGACCCAGGGTCATCTTGCGAATGAGACGAACGCGCACGTCCTGGTCTCTTGAGCTCTCACCTCGCTGAACAAATTAAAACTTGGGGACAGTTGAACTGTGCACAACTGCACACACGTTAACATCTCTATACACACACACACTCACGTACACCTGAAACATAACACAGACAAATATCCCCGTATAGCCTCACAGGGGCACCTAGCCTGGCACAAACGCCGTGGTGACTTCGCCGCCACCCTGATGTCACCGTAAGTGTAGTGTATTAGGGTGTACGCATGAGTGTACGTATTAAGGCTAATTCGAGTGTATCGGACTAATCAGAGTGTTTGCATTGGACTAATAAGAGTGTATGTATGAAACTAATCAGAGTGTTTGCATTAGAGAGTATGAATTAAGACGAATTAGAGTCGAATTAGAGTGTTTGTATGAGCGAGCGCGAGTTGAACTCAACAGATCCAGCTCCAGGCGCTCGGGGTCAAAGTTCGAACCGAGAGGACCCCCACGCGCGTGACGTCATGTCTCGCGGGGACACTCAGTTTCACCTCGGGGGTGCGTGACGTCATGTGCAACCGGCCTGGTCAACAGTGCCGTGGCATATTCTTAGCTCTTTTGGTAAAGTTACGTTGAAGGGAAACAATAAAAACGACCGTTTGTGTTATGGTCGAAACGTCGTGACAATTTTTATTGTTTTATATATTTTATTATTTTATTATTTCCCTTCAACGTGACTTTACCGAAAGAGCTAAGAATATGAATTACTGCAGTCACGAAAGCTTTAAATCAAAATTTAGTGCCGTGGCAGTTATTGGTGAACGCATCGTGAGTTTCTCATTCTCCTGCCTCTCCCCTCTCATCTCACTCCACTCCCCCTCTCATCTCACTCCACTCCCCCTCCACGCACTCTCCTACCTCTCATCTCACTCCACTCCCCCTCCACGCACTCTCTGCCCCAGCAACCAAGGCTTTCTGTCGTGGATGGGGTGGTCGCTCATTCTCCTCTGCTGCCCCCACTGTCTGGGACTCCCCCCCCCGCCCTGCCCCTGCTCAAGCCCAGGCTCAAGCATTCATTAATTCATTACCCTGCCCATGACGGCCTAGAATACATGTCCACATTACGTGGTGATACTGCTGCGTTGACGGTGGCAGTGTACAAGCACAAACGAACAACAACACTTCATACTCGTCAATAACACCGCGTGCGGCCTTAGGGGCCGTCCATAAATGACGTCACGCGATTTTGGAGGATTTTTGACCCCCCCCCCTCGTCACACGGCGTCACAGAAAGTCAGACCCCCCTCAAATATGACGTCACAAAGCCCTGCCCCCCCCCCACAAAACCATATTTCCATTTTGAAAATAAAACTTGCTTCAAATCGCTTTAAACTATTGTCATTGCAGTACGTATTTAATGTGGCGCTGCACTCTGATGTAGGAGAAAACATTTGTTAACAAGTCTATTTAATTAAGTAGAACGTGTTGTCTATATTTAAAGTTGCGCATTTTGATATAACGTCACATTTCTCAAACCTCCCCCCACTCGTCACACATCGTTACAAATGTCTGCCCCCCCCCCCCCAGGTGCGTGACGTAATTTATGGACAGCCCCTTACACGAAAAACAAATATATAATAGGCGACGTTTCAGGGACTAGCCCTTCTGCGTAGCGTATACATTTATTAAGGGCCGTTGCCCGAAACGTAAATGATCCCGAGCTCACCGTTTGCGTCACGGCAGGGTGTGTGACGTCACGGAAGCCCCCCCCCTCGCACGTCATAAGGTGGCAAGTTACATGCGACAGCAGGATCATCATCATTGTCGTTATTATTTTACATTTACCAGTGAATACAACAGTATCAACATATATACATCCCTAAATAATGATTCAATGACAATCAACACAAGTGACCAAATAATTAACATTTTAAATAATAACAAATAATATCAACTTCCGGGGTCATCGCCATCCCGTTCCGGGGCACTTCCGTGATCTGCGTGACAGAAGCAGTGGGGAGAGAGAAGCAGAGGGAGAGAAGCAGAGAGAGAGAAGCAGTGGGGAGAGAGAAGCAGAGAGACGCAGTGGGGAGAGAGAAGCAGTGGGAGAGAAGCAGAGAGAGAGAGAAGCAGTGAGAGAGAAGCAGAGAGAAGCAGAGAGAGAGAAGCAGTGGGAGAGAAGCAGTGAGAGAGAAGCAGTGGGAGAGAGAAGCAGAGAGAAGCAGTGAGAGAGAAGCAGAGAGAGAAGCAGTGAGACAGAAGCAGTGGGAGAGAGAAGCAGTGAGAGAGAAGCAGTGGGAGAGAGAGAAGCAGTGGGAGAGAGAAGCAGTGGGGAGAGAGAAGCAGTGAGAGAGAGAAGCAGAGAGAGAAGCAGTGGGGGAGAGAAGCAGTGGGGAGAGAGAAGCAGTGAGAGAGAGAGAGAGAGAGAAGCAGTGAGAGAGAAGCAGTGGGAGAGAGAGAAGCAGTGAGAGAGAAGCAGTGGGAGAGAGAGAAGCAGTGGGGAGAGAGAAGCAGAGAGAGAGAAGCAGTGAGAGAGAAGCAGTGGGAGAGAGAGAAGCAGTGGGAGAGAGAGAAGCAGTGGGAGAGAAGCAGTGAGAGAGAAGCAGTGGGAGAGAAGCAGTGAGAGAGAAGCAGTGAGAGAGAAGCAGTGGGAGAGAAGCAGTGAGAGAGAGAAGCAGAGAGAGAGAAGCAGTGGGGAGAGAGAAGCAGTGGGAGAGAAGCAGTGGGGAGAGAGAAGCAGTGAGAGAGAAGCAGTGAGAGAGAAGCAGTGAGAGAGAAGCAGTGAGAGAGAAGCAGGGAGAGAGAAGCAGTGAGAGAGAGAGAAGCAGAGAGGGAGAGAAGCAGAGAGAGAGAGAAGCAGTGGGGGAGAAGCAGAGAGAGAAGCAGAGAGGGAGAAGCAGTGGGAGAGAAGCAGAGGGAGAGAAGCAGTGAGAGAGAAGCAGTGAGAGAGAAGCAGTGAGAGAGAAGCAGTGGGGAGAGAGAGCGGCAGGGAGAGAAGCAGAGAGAGAGAAGCAGCAGTGGGAGAGAAGCAGGGAGAGAAGCAGGGGGAGTAGCAGACAGAGCGGTAGGGAGGGAAGACATCTGCAACAGCACCAGAACCGGAATCGGCATCAGCAAGAGGATAACCGGCATCTGAAGCGATAGAAGGATCAACATCATCATCATCAACAGCAGCAGCAGCAGGAAGCAACAGGAAGCAACAGCTGAACAAGCAGCAGGAAGGAACAGCTGAACAAGCAGCAGGAAGAGCACCACGAGAGACGCCAAGGAAACAAGAAGCAGCAGCCAAGGCAGCTGTAAGGACGCCGGCAAGAGGCAGCAGCAGCAGCAGCAGCTCACACGAGGTGAGGTGGAGCTGCTGCTGCTCCCCCTGCTGCTATTGTCGCTATCGGAGTTACAGCAGCGGCTGCAGTTGTTGCTGTTGCTGCAGTCGTCGCTGCTATAGTTTTGTTGCTATGGTTGCTGCTCGAGCTGTTGGTAGCTTAAGCTATTGTAGTTGTTGCTGCAGATATTTCTTCTAGAGTTGCTGCTAAAATTGCTGTGGTTACTTCTATGATTATGATAGCTGTTGTCGCCCGAGCCATTGTTGGTAACTGTTGTAGCTACAGCCGATGTAGCTTCGTGTATTTGCCTTTGCTGCTGCAGTAAGTCCTGCAGCGGCCCCCTATCTGTGCTCGTTAGCTGTAGTTGTCGCTACTATACTTACTGCCATTTTATTATTTGTTTCAGCTATGGTTGGTGCCGTTTGAGCTGTTGTTGTTGTTGTTTGTTGAAGCACAATGACCATGGAGAGCCGCTTCACGAAGGGCAAGTCGAGTCTGCTGGAGCGGAGTTTGGGTCGCGGTCGCTCCGAGGTAGCCCTCAGCGCCTTCGCTCTCCTCTTCTCAGAGATGGTGCAGTACAGCCAGGCGCGGGTCTATTCCGTCAGTGAACTGCAGGTGATGTGCGACACGTGGACTCGCTCAGCAGCCAGCACCAACTCTCACACTCACCTTGCTGCACTAACTCTCACACTCACCTTGCTGCACTAACTCTCACACTCACCTTGCTGCACTAACTCTCACTCTTACACTCACCTTCCTGCACTCTCACTCTTACACTCACCTTGCTGCACGAACTCTTACACTCACCTTGCTGCAAAAACTCTCACACTCACCTTGCTGCACTTACACTCACCTTGCTGCACTCTCACTCTTACACTCACCTTGCTGCACTAACTCTCACTCTCACACTCACCTTGCTGCACTAACTCTCACTCTCACACTCACCTTGCTGCACTAACTCTCACACTCACCTTGCTGCACTAACTCTCACACTCACCTTGCTGCACACACTCTCACTCTCACACTCACCTTGCTGCACAAACTCTCACACTCACCTAGCTGCACTCTCACTCTTACACTCACCTTGCTGCACTAACACTCACACTCACCTTGCTGCACAAACTCTCACTCTTACACTCACCTTGCTGCACAACTCTCACTCTTACACTCACCTTGCTGCACTCTCACTCTTACACTCACCTTGCTGCACTAACTCTCACTCTTACACTCGCCTTGCTGCACTAACTCTCACTCTTACACTCACCTTGCTGCACAAACTCTCACACTCACCTTGCTGCACAACTCTCACTCTTACACTCACCTTGCTGCACTCTCACTCTTACACTCACCCTGCTGCACTAACTCTCACTCTTACACTCGCCTTGCTGCACTAACACTCACTCTTACACTCACCTTGCTGCACCAACTCTCACACTCACCTTGCTGCACAACTCTCACACTCACCTTGCTGCACTAACTCTCACTCTTACACTCACCTTGCTGCACTAACTCTCACTCTTACACTCACCTTGCTGCACAACTCTCACTCTTACACTCGCCTTGCTGCACTAACTCTCACTCTTACACTCACCTTGCTGCACTAACTCTCACTCTTACACTCACCTTGCTGCACTCTCACCCTCACACTCACCTTGCTGCACTAACACTCACACTCACCTTGCTGCACCAACTCTCACTCTTACACTCACCTTGCTGCACAACTCTCACTCTTACACTCACCTTGCTGCACTCTCACTCTTACACTCACCTTGCTGCACTAACTCTCACTCTTACACTCGCCTTGCTGCACTAACTCTCACTCTTACACTCACCTTGCTGCACCAACTCTCACACTCACCTTGCTGCACAACTCTCACTCTTACACTCACCTTGCTGCACTCTCACTCTTACACTCACCTTGCTGCACTAACTCTCACTCTTACACTCGCCTTGCTGCACTAACTCTCACTCTTACACTCACCTTGCTGCACCAACTCTCACACTCACCTTGCTGCACAACTCTCACACTCACCTTGCTGCACTAACTCTCACTCTTACACTCACCTTGCTGCAATAACTCTCACTCTTACACTCACCTTGCTGCACAACTCTCACTCTTACACTCGCCTTGCTGCACTAACTCTCACTCTTACACTCACCTTGCTGCACTAACTCTCACTCTTACACTCACCTTGCTGCACTCTCACTCTTACACTCACCTTGCTGCACCAACTCTCACTCTTACACTCACCTTGCTGCACCAACTCTCACTCTTACACTCACCTTGCTGCACCAACTCTCACTCTTACACTCACCTTGCTGCACTAACTATCACTCTCACCTTGCTGCACAAACTCTCACTCTCACACTCACCTTGCTGCACTAACTCTCACTCTCACCCTGCTGCACAAACGCTCACTCTCACCTTGCTGCACTAACTCTCACTCTCACCTTGCTGCACAACTCTCACTCTTACACTCACCTTGCTGCACCAACTCTCACTCTCACACTCACCTTGCTGCACAAACTCACACTCTTACACTCACCTTGCTGCACCAACTCTCACTCTCACACTCACCTTGCTGCACCAACTCTCACTCTTACACTCGCCTTGCTGCACAAACTCTCACTCTTACACTCACCTTGCTGCACTTACACTCACCTTGCTGCACCAACTCTCACTCTCACACTCACCTTGCTGCATTCTCACTCTCACACTCACCTTGCTGCACAACTCTCACTCTTACACTCGCCTTGCTGCACTTACACTCACCTTGCTGCACTTACACTCACCTTGCTGCACTTACACTCACCTTGCTGCACTCTCACTCTCACACTCACCTTGCTGCACAAACTCTCACTCTTACACTCACCTTGCTGCACAACTCTCACTCTTACACTCACCTTGCTGCACTCTCACTCTTACACTCACCTTGTTGCACAAACTCTCACACTCACCTTGCTGCACCAACTCTCACTCTCACCTTGCTGCACCAACTCTCACTCTTACACTCACCTTGCTGCACCAACTCTCACACTCACCTTGCTGCACCAACTCTCACTCTTACACTCACCTTGCTGCACAAACTCTCACTCTCACACTCACCTTGCTGCACTCTCACTCTTACACTCACCTTGCTGCACCAACTATTACACTCACCTTGCTGCACTCTCACTCTCACACTCACCTTGCTGCACTAACTCTCACTCTTACACTCACCTTGCTGCACCAACTCTCACACTCACCTTGCTGCACCAACTCTCACTCTCACACTCACCTTGCTGCACAAACTCTCACTCTTACACTCACCTTGCTGCACCAACTCTCACTCTCACACTCTTACACTCACCAGCCAGCACCAACTCTCACCCCTATACTCACCTTGCTGCACTCTCACTCTTACACTCACCTTCCTGCACTCTCACTCTTACACTCACCTTGCTGCACGAACTCTTACACTCACCTTGCTGCAAAAACTCTCACACTCACCTTGCTGCACTTACACTCACCTTGCTGCACTCTCACTCTTACACTCACCTTGCTGCACTAACTCTCACTCTCACACTCACCTTGCTGCACTAACTCTCACTCTCACACTCACCTTGCTGCACTAACTCTCACTCTCACACTCACCTTGCTGCACTTACACTCACCTTGCTGCACCAACTCTCACTCTCACACTCACCTTGCTGCACTCTCACTCTCACACTCACCTTGCTGCACCAACTCTCACTCTTACACTCACCTTGCTGCACAACTCTCACTCTTACACTCACCTTGCTGCACTCTCACTCTTACACTCACCTTGCTGCACAAACTCTCACACTCACCTTGCTGCACCAACTCTCACTCTCACACTCACTTTGCTGCACCAACTCTCACTCTTACACTCACCTTGCTGCACCAACTCTCACTCTCACACTCACCTTGCTGCACCAACTCTCACTCTTACACTCACCTTGCTGCACAAACTCTCACTCTCACACTCACCTTGCTGCACTCTCACTCTTACACTCACCTTGCTGCACCAACTCTTACACTCACCTTGCTGCACTCTCACTCTCACACTCACCTTGCTGCACTAACTCTCACTCTTACACTCACCTTGCTGCACCAACTCTCACACTCACCTTGCTGCACCAACTCTCACTCTCACACTCACCTTGCTGCACCAACTCTCACTCTTACACTCACCTTGCTGCACCAACTCTCACTCTCACACTCACCTTGCTGCACCAACTCTCACTCTTACACTCACCTTGCTGCACCAACTCTCACTCTTACACTCACCAGCCAGCACCAACTCTCACCCCTATACTCACCTTGCTGCACTAACTCACCAGCCAACACCAACTCTCACACTTACACTCACCTTGCTGCACTAACTCACCAGCCAACACCAGCTCACCCGTACACTCACCTTGCTGGACTACTCACCAGCCAGCACCAACTCACCCATACACTCACCTTGCTGGACTACTCACCAGCCAACACCAGCTCACCCGTACACTCACCATGCTGGACTACTCACCAACCAGCACTAAGTCAACTCTACACTCACTCTCCACACCCTCAATATATAAACTCACCAACCAGCACCATCCCACAAATACACATATCTCTATGCACCTCACTGCACTAATACACCAAACAGAACTATCATATCCCGCAAATATATACACACCTGTACACATGCCTATATACATTACCATACTGACACCTTCCAACATCCACACACTTGTACACATGCATATATATATACATACATTTGCTGACACACCAGTCAGTATTGTCACATCATCACATGCCTGTACAGACGTTAGTTTCCTTTAGAAAACAGAGTAGCATGAATCATCCCTATGGCTACCTAACCTTCGTCCTAACTTTAACAGATGTGACCTGACAACTGATACCCTCAGCAACCCTCACCTTTGCTCTTTACTCATTACTCTGTAACCATCACTCCAAACATCAACGTTACCCTAACCCCAAAGACATAACAATAACTCTAACCATTATAAATTCTAATCCAACGATAACCTGATCCCTGACCCAAATTTTTACTCTTAACCGAACCCTGACCATAGCCATGATTTTAACCCTCTCCTTGACTTTAACCCTTAAATATTAACTTTAACCTCTAATCCTGGCCTGAACCCAGTTGGGCTGAGGTTACAAGAAAGAGATGAATGCACAAAACTGGGATCTCTTGTGTCATGTGGTCCAATGGAATGTCACATGACTGTGACCTCTACATGACGATAACCACGTCACATGATTGTGTGGTACAGGTGATGCTATGGACTGGCACATATTTGAGAAACCCATATGATTGTATAACATGGCTCTTGACTATATCACACGGCAGTGTTATGTGATTGTTCCATGCCTGTGTGCTTCACTATCACATAACCTTGTCACATGATTACGATGACTGCATTGTCACGTGCCACCTGATTGCGGTGCAGGCGAGGCTGAGTGAGCTGGGCCGTCACGTGGGTGCGCGATCGCTGGACACACTGGTGCTGAGGGAGCGGCCAGGACGCAGGGACACGAGGCTCCTGGGGGCCCTGCTCTTCATTAAGGTGGACACCAGCACCATTGATACTGCCACCAGCATGACTGCCATTGACACTTCAACTTTTGACACTGCCACTATTAACATTTCCACCAGTGACACTGCTATTGATGATAATGGGCTGAGTGAACCCCCTAGCAGAATTTGAACTTGCAAGTAATAACGCGCATCCAAATCGTTGCACAGTAACACGTCCTGCGCATCCCCGACCTTGCTTACAAATGTCTCCCCATGACCCTACTTATGACCTCTTTTCCCTCGACTGCCCCCGCAGGTGAACCTGTGGAAGGCTCTCTTCGGCAAGGAAGCCGACAAGCTGGAGCAGGCAAACGACGATGTGAAGACGTACTACATCATCGAGCGCGAGCCGCTCATCAACACCTTCATCTCGGTGCCGCGTGACAACAGCTCGCTGAACTGTGCGTCGTTCACGGCCGGCGTGGTGGAGGCGGCGCTGGCTCATGCCGGGTTCCCCGCGCGCGTCACCGCCCACTGGCACAAGGGCACGACCCTCATGATCCGATTTGACGATGCCGTGGTGGCGCGCGACAGGGCCCTTGATACTCGCTGATGCGCAGGCGGGGAGGATTGGGGGAGGGCAGTGTGGGTTGGGTTTCCCAAAGTTCAGTACTTTTTATCCAACCCCAGTCTGCGTTTCCACATGTACCAAACTTCTCCGTGATGTAGAGAGCACTGATTCAAAGTGCTCTCTGCGTCGTGTGGAGCACACAATAGGCCCCTCGATGCTTATTGACGCCCATGATAGCAGGTGAGTGGAGATGGGCGGTGCCTCGAAAGCAGTGGGGGGAGTATGGCGTTTTTCTTTTCCAAAGTTTAATTTTTGCAACTGAACAACAATTCGCCTTTTCACATTTACCAATCTGCTGCAAAATTACGTGGAGTGTTGATGAAACTTAAGCACTCTTTACGACGTGTTGAGCTTTCACCAATCATGAGGTGTGTGTAGTGTGTAATGATTTGCATTTGAGCGGTAAATATTGATAAACATAGAGGGCCGATCTCCCTTTCCACATTTACCAAAATTCTCCATCGGGTAGAGTGCCGATTGAAATTAGGCACAGCATCCAACGGCATGTAAAGACTTGGTTTGTTTGAACAGACAACATTGTACAAAGATGAACTGGTTGGTTGTAATGACTGAAGTTTGAAATCCCTTGGGGTAGGGTGATGAGTGAGCTCGGATAAAATGTAAAGGGGATGAATGGGAAGAGAAGGTGAATGGGTAGGAGAAGGGAGGTGTGGGGAGAGGAGAGGGGTTGGCTGGAGAGAAAAGATGTGGGAATAGGGAGATTGATTTTTGCAGGATACATGGAGCTAAGCGGGGATGAGTGCTGGTGACTGGTACTGAGTGGGAATGACTGGATTGAGGTCATGACTTGCAAATCCACCATGGCCTCTTACCATGACCAACTGTGACCTCACATGACCTGCCCCCCCTCCCTCCCGTCCATGATCTCTCACCCGAATCCGCTGTGACCTCCGTCCTGAACCACCTTAACTGCTCACCTGTATCTGGTTGGGTTTATTGTCTCCCACTCACTCACATCATGGCCTGCGATTGTGTTCATTAAAGAGGGATGATCACCAATGAGGTTTACCGCGTATTGTGAAAGTGTGGGGCACCTGACCAAATACTGAACGTACATTTATTTACGGAAACACTTTTGTGTACATTGATGTATGTAGTGCATTCCTATGATGTGTCTTAGTATGTGTGTCTAAGTGGGGAGCGGTAGTATCGTGGTTATTGCGCTGTCCTACGAACCCGGTGACCCGAGTGCCATTCCCGCTCAGCTAACACCAGTGACGATTATTTGAACCTGTCCTGGGCCTCCCCGAGGTCGACTCGGCCTCAAATGAGTACCTGGTGCAGAGTGTAAACATCGTCACTAGGGAGTGGTGCTGGCCACCCATCCCCTCATGTGCCGTGCTAGTCTTCAAGGTGCTCGCTTACAGCACTTGAATCAAACATCTGTTCAGACTATTTGGGGGGGGGGGGGGGGGGGGGGGATCTTTATTTGTTTTCTTAGTAGCTACCAGTGTGTATTTTATGCAGGGGTGCGTCTGTGTATGTGTTTGTATAATAATAATATAGATAATATGATCGTGGTGATGCAAGCCTCTTCTCAATGCTGTCTGGAACTGTGTTGGGTGGGGGGATGGTAGTAATAGCGTTGATTGCGATGTTGTTTATTCTGATGGTGATGGTGTTGTCTTTATGCCTCCTGAAGCCTTGACTCGAGGTTGAGCTGTGAGAGGAGGAGTTTCTCCAGCTCCAGGAACTCATCGTACTCGCGTCGCTCCAGTTCATCCTGCTGCTGTTGCTCCAGCTCGCTCGCCTCCGTAGCCACCTGCACATCACAAATACAAAGTTCGCCTGTGTAGCCTACGTAGTAGTTTCTTGGGGCACCTGCTGTTAGCGATCACCGTTGAAAGCCAACATGGGGGTGTTGTGTTAAATTACACGTTTGGCCACCTTTGCCTCCCCAGTGATGATGTTTACACACCACACTGGGTGAATAATACAGGGAGGGATTAGGACCTGTTCAGATATTCGCCACTGATGTTGGTCACCAGTGGAAAATGAACTCGGATCGCTCGTGTTTGTAAGGTAGTGCACTAACCACTACATCACCATGCCCCACCTGCACCTCACATATATATATCCATACAGATACAGACATAAACACGTACACAATACATGCATCAAAGAGATGGAATTAGAATATATTTTTATTCAGAATTTATATATGTTTTAGGCCTAATTTTGGATATTCATGGCATTATCTGATCATTAAAACTTACATTGTAAGACTTTTAAACATTTAATGAAAAGAACAATTAACATTTGAGTAATTTTAATCAAATAAAAATACGTAACATTCATAAACGCATTACCTACTATAATCACCCAGAAAAATCTGTCCTGTGTCACGTCACTCCACATGAGGCCCACCCCCTCATTAATATTCATAAGTGGGTGGATTTTTACACATTTGAAGCGAAATCGCTTCAAATATGACGTTTCTTTACAGAAAGTGACGGTAAAAAATAGATCTACGCAGCACAGTGCGAGATCCGTGTGTAACGTCACTGTAAAAGAGGAACCCCCCCCCCTTCATTAATATGCCCGCCTGGAAATTTACACTGACGCACAAGAAGGTCGCGCACTCCACATGCCGCACCCCTCATTAATAATCATGAGCGGGTGGCGTCACTTCACATACCACACCCCTCCCCAATAACCATTAGCGTGTGACGTCACTCCACATGGGGCAACCCCCCCCCCTCATTAATAATCATGAGCTGAACAATTTTTCTATTGCATATTTCAGATTTACTGCAATATACACCTGTCCTTAGACGGGCAAAAAAGCTAGTACCTACTATAATCGCCCAGGAATGACTGTCCTGTACGCTCGTGACGTCACTCCACATCGACCAGCCCCCTAATTAATATTCATGAGCAGGTGACGTCCTCCAAATGGACACACCTCCACCCCTCATAATCATGAGCGGGTGACGTCATTTAATATGGAGTACTCCCCCCCACTAATAATCATGAAAAAGTGACGTCACTCCACGTCGACCAGCCCCCCTCATTAATAATCATTATAAGGTGACGTCCTACAAATGGACACCCCCCTCCCCTCCCCATTCATAATAATTAGCGGCTGACGTCACTCCACATGGGGGGGGCGAGGCGCCGCCTCCCCCCCTCGGCGTCAACTGACAACCCTCACTACAAAGGCAGAACCCTCACGTCACGCCATCTCCGTGACGCTGTTGTTGAGACATAGAAGTAAAAAGGACGTCATGATGAACAAGGGATTATAACCTTAAAATGAAACAGGTCTGTGTTACCACGCCCTTACAAATTGCACACGAATTGATGCAATGAATATCACGTCACGGTCTGATTTTCGCTTGCAAGTTTAAGATTTACTGCAATACGCCCGTCTTTGGACGGGCAAAAGGCTAGTTATGTATGTTTAACTTCTTTCACACCCTATGTAGCCAACCGTGTGCTAAGCGGAGGTGCGGTACATGTTAGTCTTTATTAATAACGAGCACTACCCGCGCATTTGCACCGGATATACACCAACACCTACTATCGTTAACATACACAGACACATGCCCTATAATAGACACAGGTACATACAGCCCTTCTTCACGTAACGATACACCCATATAGACACATGGGTCCATAACAGAGGTTTTTAGGGTTAGATCGTGTAAATATAAATGTGTCGTTAAACCTGCCACTACCCAACAGCCAATTCGTCAGGGTTTTCACCTAAATAAAACATGGCACATAGTTACTAGTTCAGCACACCGGTGTGTTGGAGAGTAAACCCACAACATTTACAATTTGAGTATGACCTTTCGCCAGGAATTACAACCAGACTCATAAGCCGACAGCCAGAATTGTGGAGAAATCCTGTTTCGGTCATGAATAGAGGGATAAAAGTGATGTTGTTAGTTGTGAGCCAAACAGGTGCGAAGACCAGAGAGGGTGGGGTGGGATTTATATAAATTAAAATGTAAATCTATTATTGGTTGGGTTATTCACAGTTAATCAACATGCATAATGTACATATGTATATACATTCTGACGTTTTTGGGCCCAAAAATCACAATACCTGTTAGTGGCTGCTCACAGTTAATCACCATTGACGTATGGTGACCTGTATAGGTATGCAATTAAACAGTATATTACTGGTAGGAACCTCCTGGTTCCACCAGCCCACAGGGGATTATTGTGTCCGTCCGTCGTGCAACCAAAAATAGGAGGGGTGGGGCTGGGTGGAAAGGGGTGGGGCTGGGTGGGGAAGGCGGCCACGGCACACACGAGAGGGTGGGTGGCTACCAACCACGTCCGGCCATCTTCACGACATTTTTCCCTCCACGTGGAGAATCAACAACATGCGTTTGGAGTATGCGGCTGCTCTCAATCTCTACATTATAAGCCGCCAATTCGTAGGTATTGTACTCTTTTTTTTAGGAACAGCTTTTTTTTTCTCTCCACCATCCCAGGTCCCCACTCGGTCCCCACCCTTCACGCCGGTTTGTGCCCGCCCTCACAGTCGGACATGTTTGCGGAATACACCACGTGCCGTTGACCCTATCCACTGATGGAGCAACCCAACGCTCCTACCATCTCCCTCCGCAGGAATGTGTTACTTGATAATACGCTTCCAAGCAGCAATAAGTCGGCAGCTATAAGAACGGTTAAAATAATTTTCATTTCTCTCAATTTCAACACTTTCTAATTAGTCTTGGCCAGTAGTAACTAGTTTTGCACAAAGCCTCAACATCATCAACATTGAGTGCCCTTTTTGGCACGTGGGTTCTGCAACTGCCAACAGTTGTTTGTAAGTGTTTTAATATTTTGGCGTTCTTTTACCCTCATGCTGACCATTTGTCCTGTCTGACCAACAGATGGGTAATATATCTTTATTCCCAGTAATTAGTCCTGTATTTTATGTACCGTGCCAAATCTCACTTGGATGACACATATAGACACAAAGCTACACAAAGATGGGCCCTCCAACCATCTCCCTCACCCTCGCCCTGTCTCTCTCACCTGCTGCTTGTTTTCGCCCTGTCCCTTCTGTTGTCTCCGTTGTCCCTGCTGCTGCTGCTCCGCTTTTTGCTGCTGCTTCTCGCGTTCCCGCTGCTGTTGGCGCTGCAGAGTGAACTCCAACCGCTCCCGCTCGCGATCCAGGTAGGCAAGCATGGCGGAGACCTGGCAGGGGAGAGAGCTGGTGCTGCGTTCGTGCTCGGGGATGGTGCTCGTGCTATTGTTAGAAATTGGTATTCGTGCTGCTGCTCTGGTTAACGTTATCACTGGTTAATGGTGTTGCTTACACCGATGTTTGCATTGTGCTTTAATAGTGCTGCTGGCAATGGTGCTGGTGATTTTGAAGGTGCTAAGCATTCACGTTGGTCATAGGGTTAATGTCGGGGCTACAGCTTGTGTTGACATTAATGCCTGTGCTTGTCATGGCGTTGATGCTCGTGTTAATTTTAATATGAGTGCTAGTGTTAGTACAGCTGTTGGTGTTAATGCTGGTGGTACTGCTGCTGATGGCGCTGCTGTCACCTCAGAGGCGGCACCGTGCCGTAGGGCACGTGGCACCTCCAGTATGTGCAGGGTGCCCAGCTCGTCGCCCACGGCCAGCAGCTGCTGACGCTCTATGGCACAAAGGCAACAACATCAACAACTACGAAAATATCGATTACTAACAACTGCTAACATCAACAACAATTGAAACATACAACTGAAACACAATTGTCACAGACAATAATTGCTCACATCAACGACTAAAAACACATCACCACAGCACTGCCTGCGCGTGCAGGGGTTGCATGTGGCACCTTCTATTAGTACGGTTGGCTACATGCGGTGCGAAAGAAGCTCAACATACATGCATACGTGGCCCCAAATCCCCCTTTGTCTCCACCTGTCTCCATATTCAACTGACTCCCCGTATGTGAGTGTTTGCGGGGCGATGGACGTGGTGCTGATCGGTGGCACCACCTGCGAGTGCAGCGGTGCATGTGTCTCCTCCTGTCTCCCCGTTGTGTATGTGTGAGTGTCGTCTTCTGTGTCCGCCCCGTGCGTACGTGCGAGTGCCCGCGGGGTGATGAACGTGAGGCTGGCCGGTGACACTGCCTGCGTGTGGAGCGGCGCATGTGTGCGGTCCAGGAGGTCCCACGTCTCCAGTGCACCGTCGGCTCGTGCTAGGAACACGAGGGCGGCGCGGGACGGGGACCAGCACCCGGCCGTGTAGCCCCGGCGTGCCCCGCCCCCAGGGCCAGCATTGGCGGCTCCAGCAGCGGTGTTGGCGGTGGCGGCAGTAATTCCACCGCCAGCGTGCAGCAGTAGCAGTAGAGGGGGTTCTCCCTGCACTCACGGCCAGAGGGAAAAATCTGAAGTGCAAGCTGATGCAGCACTAAGAGCAGCAGCAGTAGCACCACTACAAACACCATAAGCAATAGCAGAAACAAAATACAAACAGTATTAGCAGCATTGGTACTATCAAACAGCATCTGCAATAGCAGCACCACATCCAACACTTTCATCACCACAACCACCAGCATGTATGCATGTTGAACTTCTTTCGCACAGTATATTGCCAACCATGCTAATCGGAGGTGCCATCACCAACATCATCATCACCATTATCACGAGCACGACTGCCACCAACATCATCACCATCTCCGCCATCACATCCTCCGCTCACCGTGCCGCCCTCCTTCCACAAAGCGAAGGAGTCGTCATCGGCTGTGAGCAGCACGCTCGGCAGCAGTGGTGACGCTTGCACTGTGTGCACTGGCCCCGCGTGCACCACACTCACGGCCAGGGGCTTCGTGCCTGTGGCCCGGGGTCAAGGTCAGAGAGCAAAGAGTCCAGGTCAAAGTCACAATGCCAAGGTTGGAGCCATGGGGATATGGGCACTTTGGGAAAGGACGCCACCGCTATAATCACCATTCCCACCACGACTTATACCACCAATGCTACCAGCACTACCACCATGATCACCACCATCTCAGCCACCATTACTACCACTGCTTACCGCCATTGTTATCAGCACCACAACCAGTACCAGCAGCACTTACTGGAGAGCTTGCCAGAGTCATTGTCCTTCTCTGGGCGCCAGTCAGTGCAGACCAGCTCCCCATCCTAGGAGCATAGACACACGGGAACAAAGAAAAATATCGCACCATGTAACCTATATATAGACTGTTGGGGCAAGTACTTTTTTGTGAACATCTATTGAGGCCGGCATGGCACACAAGGGACTGGTGTGGCCAGCTTCATACACAGCTGCCGTTCGTCTCCCCCAGTGCCAATGTTTATACACTGCACGGGGCACTCATTTAAGGCTGAGTCGACCCCGCGGAGGCCACAAACAGGTTTCAGATATCCCTCACCCCCGATGTTATCTGCGGCTGGGAATCCAACTTGGGGCGCTGGATTTGTAGCTCAGTACATTAACCACTGCAACACTGCTTGCTGCACACACATGCTTGTGTGTGCAGCGTGTGAATGTGGCATGTAAGCAGCGTGTGAATGTGGCGTGTAGGCAGCGTGTGAATGTGGCGTGTAGGCAGCGTGTGAATGTGGCGTGTAAGCAGCGTGTGAATGTGGCGTGTAGGCAGCGTGTGAATGTGGCGTGTAAGCAGCGTGTGAATGTGGCGTGTAGGCAGCGTGTGAATGTGGCGTGTAAGCAGCGTGTGAATGTGGCGTGTAGGCAGCGTGTGAATGTGGCGTGTAAGCAGCGTGTGAATGTGGCGTGTAGGCAGCGTGTGAATGTGGTGTGTAGGCAGCGTGTGAATGTGGCGTGTAAGCAGCGTGTGAATGTGGCGTGTAGGCAGCGTGTGAATGTGGCGTGTAAGCAGCGTGTGAATGTGGCGTGTAGGCAGCGTGTGAATGTGGCATGTAAGCAGCGTGTGAATGTGGCATGTAAGCAGCGTGTGAATGTGGCGTGTAGGCAGCGTGTGAATGTGGTGTGTAGGCAGCGTGTGAATGTGGCGTGTAAGCAGCGTGTGAATGTGGCGTGTAGGCAGCGTGTGAATGTGGCGTGTAAGCAGCGTGTGAATGTGGCGTGTAGGCAGCGTGTGAATGTGGCATGTAAGCAGCGTGTGAATGTGGCGTGTAGGCAGCGTGTGAATGTGGCGTGTAAGCAGCGTGTGAATGTGGCATGTAAGCAGCGTGTGAATGTGGCTTGTAGGCAGCGTGTGAATGTGGCGTGTAAGCAGCGTGTGAATGTGGCGTGTAAGCAGCGTGTGAATGTGGCGTGTAAGCAGCGTGTGAATGTGGCGTGTAAGCAGCGTGTGAATGTGGCGTGTAAGCAGCGTGTGAATGTGGCATGTAAGCAGCGTGTGAATGTGGCTTGTAAGCAGCGTGTGAATGTGGCGTGTAAGCAGCGTGTGAATGTGGCATGTAAGCAGCGTGTGAATGTGGCTTGTAAGCAGCGTGTGAATGTGGCGTGTAGGCAGCGTGTGAATGTGGCTTGTAAGCAGCGTGTGAATGTGGCGTGTAAGCAGCGTGTGAATGTGGCATGTAAGCAGCGTGTGAATGTGGCGTGTAAGCAGCGTGTGAATGTGGCGTGTAGGCAGCGTGTGAATGTGGCGTGTAAGCAGCGTGTGATTGTGGCGTGTAGGCAGCGTGTGATTGTGGCGTGTAGGCAGCGTGTGAATGTGGCGTGTAAGCAGCGTGTGAATGTGGCATGTAAGCAGCGTGTGAATGTGGCATGTAAGCAGCGTGTGAATGTGGCGTGTAGGCAGCGTGTGAATGTGGCGTGTAAGCAGCGTGTGAATGTGGCGTGTAGGCAGCGTGTGAATGTGGCGTGTAAGCAGCGTGTGAATGTGGCGTGTAGGCAGCGTGTGAATGTGGCGTGTAGGCAGCGTGTGAATGTGGCATGTAAGCAGCGTGTGAATGTGGCTTGTAAGCAGCGTGTGAATGTGGCGTGTAGGCAGCGTGTGAATGTGGCTTGTAAGCAGCGTGTGAATGTGGCGTGTAAGCAGCGTGTGAATGTGGCGTGTAAGCAGCGTGTGAATGTGGCGTGTAGGCAGCGTGTGAATGTGGCGTGTAGGCAGCGTGTGAATGTGGCGTGTAAGCAGCGTGTGAATGTGGCTTGTAGGCAGCGTGTGAATGTGGCGTGTAAGCAGCGTGTGAATGTGGCGTGTTGGCAGCGTGTGAATGTGGCTTGTAGGCAGCGTGTGAATGTGGCGTGTAGGCAGCGTGTGATTGTGCCGTGTAGGCAGCGTATGTATGTTGCATATAGGCAGCGTGCCTGCGTGCCCACTATCAGACGCGTGCTGACTGCGTCCAGGGCTTGTGGTTGCTTGGCGGAGGCCACTCTGTGGATCGCCCCATACCCAGGGACGTCCCCTCGCTGGGTCCCCACACCTCCCCGCTCTGGGTCGGGGTAAGGGGGTTAAGGGCTTGTGGTTATCAATCAATCAGGCTTCATTTATCTAGCGTAATTTGCATCAACAAACAATTCTGGCATTTTAGAGCACTTTACAAAAACGAAGTATATACATGAATGACCAACGTAAGAATATATCGGTTTAAATTAAAACAGAGGTGTAACCTAGGTGATGTCATTTAAAACGAATAAAAGCTAATATAATGAGAATGATAGATAATACATATGATTTTAATGTAATGTAGATCCCTTTATAAATGCACTGATAGATGAAGACCTGTCTACAACTTTCAGTCATGACATTGTTTTAACATACAGTACGTCACAATGCTATATAGTAACAAGACTAGTGATATCATCAGGGATTGTGATAGGGTCAGGGATATAGTGTCAGGGATTAGTGATAAGGTCAGGGCTAGTGTTTGGGTCAGACATAAAAGGGTCAGGGCTAGTGTTAGTATCAGGGCTAGTGATAGGGTCAGGTATAGTGATAGGGTCAGGGAGAGTGATAGGGTCAGAGATATGGTCAGGGATAGTGATAGGGTCAGGGATAGTGATAGGGTCAGGGAGAGTGATAGGGTCAGAGATATGGTCAGGGATAGTGATAGGGTCAGGGATAGTGATAGGGTAAGGGCTAGTGATAGGGTCAGGGAGAGTGATAGGGTCAGAGATAGTGATAGGGTAAGGGATAGAGATAGGGTCAGGGAAAGTGATAGGGTCAGAGATAGTGATAGGGTAAGGGCTAGTGATAGGGTAAGGGCTAGTGATAGGGTCAGGGATAGTGATAGGGTCAGGGATAGAGATAGGGTCAGGGATAGTGATAGGGTCAGAGCTAGTTATAGGGTAAGGGATAGTGATAGGGTCAGGGATAGTGATAGGGTCAGGGATAGAGATAGGGTGAGGGATAGTTATAGGGTAAGGGCTAGTGTTGGTATCAGGGCTAGTTATAAGGTAAGGGCTAGTGATAGGGTAAGCGCTAGTTATAGGGTAAGAGCTAGTTATAGGGTAAGGGCTAGTTATAGGGTCACGGCTAGTTATAGGGTAAGGGCTAGTGATAGGGTCAGGGATAGAGATAGGGTGAGGGATAGTGATAGGGTCAGAGCTAGTTATAGGGTAAGGGCTAGTGTTAGTATCAGGGCTAGTTATAGGGTAAGGGCTAGTGATAGGGTAAGAGCTAGTTATAGGGTCACGGCTAGTTATAGGGTAAGGGCTAGTGATAGGGTCAGGGATAGTGATAGGGTCAGGGATAGAGATAGGGTGAGGGATAGTGATAGGGTCAGAGCTAGTTATAGGGTCAGGGCTAGTTATAGGGTAAGGGCTAGTTATAGGGTCAGAGTTATAGGGTAAGGGCTAGTAATAGGACTGACCGTGGGAGGGCTCTGGGAGGCTGCGTTCCTGCAGGCTGCAGCACACGGGGTTGTACTCCCCACCCAACTCCAGCCTCGGCAGGGTCACCTGTAGGCAGAATAGTACAGCACAACACAAGCAGCATACACATCAGCATACACAGCAGCATACACAGCAGCATGTCACAGTGTACAGCTCACACAGCGCGTAATGCACAGCACACGCATCACATACACAGCACATACACAGTACGTAGCATGTTGACCAGCGATGGCCAACTGGCGTCTCCCAAGCTGCATGCGGCTATTTAATCCACCACATGTGGCTCTATCGAAGGGGCATAACATAGAACGTATGATCACGGTAGCAAAGCATAATGAATGTCTCCTGTGCTATGCCGAAAACTGTCAAAATATACATAATCTTGATTTGAAGCTTTCGTGACTGCAGGAATCCATACTCTTTGGTTCTTTCGGGAAAGTCACGTAGGTATAAAATAAAAGAAATCACGACGTTTCGGGCGCAACACAAGCGTCCATCATCAGGTGGGAAAGCTTTCTGCAAAGAACCATGCTTTCCCACCTGATGATGGACGCTTGTGTTGAGCCCGAAACGTCGTGATTTCTTTTATTTTATACCTACGTGACTTTACCGAAAGAACCAAAGAGTAATATATACATACTTATATATACACTTGGTTCTTTGCAGAACTCATAGGTACTTTTTGGCTCTTGGTCTCTTACAAGTTGGCCACCCTTGATGTAGACATACCATACACACACGTTTATAGACAACACACAATTCACAGAGCATACATACATAACACACACACATTTAAATCAATGGGGATCCATGGACAATCCCTTGGCTGTAAAATGGTCATGCAATGGAATTACATTTATTTTAATGGTAATCCAATAATCTGTATTGAAATAAATTGGAATTCTTCGGACGATAGAGATGCAGGAATCCCCATTCAAATGAATAGGATTGCGCTTGTTTACCCAGGAAATCCTCACCGAGTCTCAAGACTTGTTTTTTAGAAAGCTCCTGTCAACTGGATCCGAGTACCCTGTATTCATGAGACAATTCCTGGATGGGTCCTGGGTTCTAGCAGCGATTCCTTTAACTGCCATTAGACGGCACAGTAACCCCGTCAGAATATCATAACAGCTAATGGAGATGTTAATATGGGAATCACTCTCAGAAGAGTCACGATTTCTGGAAAGAATTGCCGACGGTGGAATTATGGAACACAAATACAATTCTTGCAGAAATTGTCCAGTAATACTGTGCAATCAACAAGAACCAGCATGTGCGACTAAGTGGTGGTGACATCAACACTGCATTTGTGCCAGAATAGGTGCACTTTGATGTAATGTGAAGTATCGAAGGCTTACTGGAAGGAGTTCACGGGACATAATCATGTGTTAAAAGTGAACTAAGATGACTGGCAGATGCACCACCTGTGCTGTCCATCATGCGAAGTTTGCACAGTTGGGACGAACACACACACATTCCGCACATGCATGAGTGTTAGGGTAAGGCCCTCTCCCAGGGACCTCCCGAGGCACCCCTTTGGGAGTTGGGTGACCTTAAGGAGAGGTCTCCAGGTGAGGTTCAGGTGTTTGAAGGTGGTGGGGACCCCGCTGGGATCGTCGATCTGTCGATGCTCTGAGCGTTTCTTGTCGCCGGGCCCGGCTGGAGCTGCTCTGCCCGGACGCACGTCCCACATGAGGATGGAGCTGAGTGCCAGCACACACACACAAAACAAAGACTAACCTATAGCCTCACCAAACTATTGGGGCAAGTGCTATTAGCGAGTACATATGAAGGCTAACAGGGCACATACACACACACGGCTGCTGAGCCTAGCACCACGCCCGGCCGCCTTTGTCTCCCCACAGTGGTGATGTTTAACACAATACTCCAGATACTAATTTATGGCCGAGTCAACCTAGGGGAGGCCCAGAACTGGTTCAGATATTTGCCACTGACGTTGGCCATGAATGGGAATCGAACTTGGCTCACCATGTTCGTTATATGGTGCTCTAACCACCACATTACCGCACCTCACGCAAACATATCATCACACCCAAGTCAAAGAAAACCCATGTCGGCTTTCAAAGACTATTGAAGCAAGTGTTGGTGACAGCCTACCAAGAGGCCTGCATGGCATCAGCTGTAAGTGGGAGCAGTAGTAACATCAAAAACATTAACATCAGCAAGAATATTAATTGTAGACGCAGCATTGAGCAGCAGCATCACCATTACGATACAAGATGGCGCCGATGATGGCAGCCTCGGCCGGTTGGTGCGCCCTGTTTTGTCCAGTTTTGTCTTGTTTTGTCTTGAGAGGGGCTTGCTGTTCAACACACTCGTGCTGGTGAGAGAGGCCTGCTTTTCATCACACCCGTGCTGGTGAGAGAGGCCTGCTGTTTTGGGGCCTGCTGTTCATCACACCCGTGCTGGTGAGAGAGGCCTGCTGTTCAGTACACCCGTGTTGAGGGGCCTGCTGTTCAGCACACCCTTGCTGGTGAGAGAGGCCTGCTGTTCAACACACCCGTGCTGGTGAGAGGGGCCTGCTTTTCAGCACACCCTTGCTGGTGAGAGAGGCCTGCTGTTCAACACACCCGTGCTGGTGAGAGGGGCCTGCTTTTCAGCACACCCTTGCTGGTGAGAGAGGCCTGCTGTTCAACACACCCGTGCTGGTGAGAGGGGCCTGCTTTTCAGCACACCCGTGCTGGTGAGAGAGGCCTGCTGTTCAACACACCCGTGCTGGTGAGAGGGGCCTGCTTTTCAGCACACCCGTGCTGGTGAGAGGGGCCTGCTGTTCAGCACACCCGTGCTGGTGAGAGAGGCCTGCTGTTCAGCTCACACGTGTTGAGGGGCCTGCTGTTCAGCACACCCGTGCTGGTGAGAGGGGCCTGCTGTTCATCACATCCGTGTTGGTGAGAGGGGCCTGCTGTTCAGCACACCGGTGCTGGTGAGAGAGGCCTGCTGTTCAGCACACCCGTGTTGAGGGGCCTGCTGTTCAGCACACCCGTGCTGGTGAGAGGGGCCTGCTGTTGAGGGGCCTACTGTTCAGCACACCCGTGTTGGTGAGAGAGGCCTGCTGTTCAGCACACCCGTGTTGAGGGGCCTACTGTTCAGCACACCCGTGCTGGTGAGAGGGGCCTGCTGTTCAACAGACCCGTGCTGGTGAGAGGGGCCTACTGTTCAGCACACCCGTGCTGGTGAGAGGGGCCTGCTGTTCAACACACCCGTGCTGGTGAGAGGGGCCTGCTGTTCAACACACCCGTGCTGGTGAGAGGGGCCTGCTGTTCAACACACCCGTGCTGGTGAGAGGGGCCTGCTGTTCATCACACCCGTGCTGGTGAGAGAGGCCTACTATTCATCACACCCGTGCTGGTGTGAGGGGCGTGCTGTTCATCACCCCCGTGTTGGTGAGAGGGGCCTGCTGTTCACTCCCATGCTGGTGAGAGAGGCCTACTGTTCATCACACCTGTGTTGGTGAGAGGGGCCTGCTGTTCACCACTCCCATGCTGGTGAGAGGGGCCTACTGTTCAACACACCAGTGCTGGTGAGAGAGTCCTGCTGTTCATCACACCAGTGCTGGTGAGAGAGGCCTGCTGTTCAGCACACCCGTGCTGGTGCGAAGATGGCGCTGATGATGGTAGCCTCAGCCGGTCGGTGCGCCCTGTTTTGTCTTGTTTTGTCTGTCAATTCAGTGTTTTGCCAAGATTTTCGGAGTTCTCTAACAAGAGACGAACTTTTAAATATCAGGGAAACAACTCCTGTGGATTTAATTCCTACTTTTCTGCTTCCAGCGGCAGAATTAGTAGGCATTCTAGTCAATGCCGCGCTAGGCTTTGCTCAAGCGACGAAACGCCGCCCAAGGGGTAAACGGTCGGGGGCTCTAGTACGGCTACGCAGACGCGGGATCCGAACAGTGCTTCCGAGCTTTTTCCTCTCCAACGTACGTTCACTGTGCAACAAAATGGATGAACTTCAGCTACTGATGGTAAAAAACAAAGACTTTCTTTCAGCTTCTGCATTGTGCTTCACGGAAACATGGCTGTGTGATTTGATTCCGGACACTTCGCTACAACTAGCAGGATTCCATCTTGTAAGATCGGATCGTGACATAGCACTCTCCGGCAAGACGAAAGGCGGTGGTATTTGTTTTTACATTAACAGTGGCTGGTGTGTAGATGTCACAGTGATTCTGCAACATTGTTCTCCACTCCTTGAATCAATTTTTATAACCTGTAAACCGTTTTACTCGCCTCGCGAGTTCGCGTCGCTCATTTTGGTCGGAGTTTATTTGCCGCCTTGTCCTCAGGTTAAAGAGGCCCAACGCATGCTCGCCGATCAGATTCTGAGTGTGGAGCGAGCAAATCCAGATTCGTTGGTTATCGTACTTGGCGACTTTAACAAAGGTAATCTCAGCCACGAACTCCCCAAATACATACAATTCATTAAATGCCCAACCAGAGAAGGGAACACTCTGGATCACTGTTACACTACAGTCAGTAGAGCCTACCACGCCGTCCCCCGAGCAGCACTAGGACACTCTGACCATGCCATGGTCCACCTGATTCCTGCATACAGGCAGAAACTAAAACTCTGTAAACCTGCTGTGAGGACATCTAAACAGTGGACCAGTGAGGCTGTGGAAGATTTGCGGGCGTGCTTAGACTGTACTGACTGGGATATGTTCACGACTGCTACCAATAGTCTGGATGAACTCACAGAGGCTGTGACGTCCTACATCAGCTTCTGTGAGGACTGCTGTATCCCAACACGTACCAGGGTGAACTTTAACAACAATAAGCCCTGGTTCTCAGCAAAGCTCAGAAGGTTGAGGTTGGAGAAGGAGGAAGCGTTTAGGAGTGGAGATAGAGACAGATTCAAGGAGTCGAAGAACAGGTTTAGCAAAGCGGTGAGAGAGGCTAAACGACTGTACTCAGAGAGACTAAAACACCAGTTCTCTACAAACGACGCTGCTTCTGTCTGGAGAGGGCTCAGGCAGATCACCAACTACAAACCCAGAGCCCACCACACCACTAACGACTCCCGCCTAGCCAACGACCTGAACGAGTTCTACTGTAGATTTGAAAGACAATTGGACTGTCCTGAACCACCCCTTCCAACCCAAGAGGCCCCATCCCCCACCAATACTACAGAGACGACTATCTCCTTTCAGGAGGGAGAAGTTAATAGACTTTTCAAGAGGCAGAATCCACGCAAAGCAGCCGGGCCGGACTCTGTCTCTCCAGCCACCCTCAGGCACTGTGCTGACCAGCTGTCTCCGGTGTTCACCAACATCTTTAACACCTCCCTGGAGACATGCCATGTACCAGCCTGTCTCAAGTCCTCCACCATCATCCCTGTGCCCAAAAAGCTAAGGCCAACAGGACTAAATGATTACAGACCGGTCGCCCTTACATCTGTGGTAATGAAGTCTTTTGAGCGCCTGGTCCTGGCACACCTCAAAGCCATCACAGACCCTCTCCTGGACCCCCTTCAGTTTGCCTACAGAGCCAACAGGTCTGTGGACGATGCAGTTAACATGGCCCTCCACTTCACCCTACAGCATCTGGACGCCCCAGCATCCTACGCCAGGATCCTGTTTGTGGACTTCAGCTCTGCCTTCAACACCATCATCCCTGCCCTGCTTCAGGACAAGCTCTTCCAGCTGAACGTGCCATACACCACCTGTAAATGGATCACAGACTTCCTGTCTGACAGGAAGCAGTGCGTTAAGCTGGGAACACAAGTCTCTGACTCCAGGTCCATCAGCACCGGAACTCCTCAGGGCTGCGTCCTTTCCCCTCTGCTCTTCTCCCTGTATACCAACAGCTGCACCTCCAATCATCTGTCCGTCAAACTATTGAAGTTTGCGGATGACACCACCCTCATTGGGCTGATCTCTGGTGGGGATGAGTCTGACTATAGGTGGGAAGCTGACAATCTGGTGACCTGGTGTAGCCAGAACAACTTAGAGCTAAATGCTCTAAAGACAGTTGAGATGGTTGTGGACTTCAGGAAGAATACAGCACCACTCACCCCCATCACCCTGTTAGACTCCCCAGTAAAAATTGTAGAGTCCTTCCGCTTCCTGGGCACTATTCTCTCCCGGGACCTCAAGTGGGAATTGAACATCAGCTCCCTCACCAAGAAAGCTCAACAGAGGATGTACTTTCTACGGCAGCTGAAGAAATTCAACCTGCCAAAGACAATGATGGTGCAATTCTATACAGCGATCATTGAATCCATCCTCACCTCCTCCATAACCGTCTGGTACGCTGCTGCCACTGCCAAGGACAAGAGCAGACTGCAGCGTATCATCCACACTGCTGAGAAGGTGATTGCCTGCAATCTACCAACCCTCGAGGACCTGCACACGACAAGGTCCATGAGGCGAGCGAGGAAGATTATGGCCGATTTCTCCCACCCTGGACACTCTCTGTTTCAGCTACTCCCCTCCGGCAGAAGGCTTCGGTCCATCAGGACCAAAACCTCACGCCATAAAAACAGTTTCTTCCCATCTGCTGCTGGCCTGTTAAACAAGGCCAAGGGCTAACACTGTTTTTAACATTTGATCTACATAACGACACCTTGCCGATATTAACTATGTTACCCTATTTGTATTTTTTATTTTTTAAATTATATCTTAAAGCTATTTTATATTCGATATGTATTTAATTTTATATACTTCAGCCCCTTGGTGTTAGACTTTTAACCCTTATTATAGTAAGACTTGTTTAAAACTTATTTAAGATTTTAGATTCCTATATGTTGAATGTATGCACCATCCTGCCAAAGTAAATTCCGTGTCGGTGTGAACTTACATGGCGAATAAAACCCTTTCTGATTCTGATTCTGATTAACATCAGCAACAGAGGCAGCAGTGACAACAGCAGCAGTAGCAGCAATATTCGGAGAAACAACGGCAGCAACAACAACAGAAAAGAGCAGCATGAGCAGTAGCAGCATTGAGCTGCCAGCTGTTACTGTTGGAGATGGCGCGGAGGGATTTCTGTACCAGTCTGTGGCACTCGTGAGCAGCTGTAGGCACATCCGGCTCTCGTTCTCCACAGCAGCACCCGCCCGCGTCACCTACCCACGGGGGAATCCATAACACGTGCAGCATCAGCATCTGCATGCCACGAGATCCTCCCCTCCGCTTGCTGCTCCTGATGCCAGGCAAGGTCTCATGGGCCTGGTGCTCTCTGTACATTCGGGTACCTCTGAGTTTAAGCCCAAAGAGAATCCTCTAGCAAGAGAGAACTGGGTGTCAGTATTACTGCGATTGCTATATTGTTAGTACGAAACTACTACCCGTGCTATAGTGTGAATACAAGTGGTACTGTTAATAGATACAATAATTTATTGCTCAAATGAGCATTAAGGCTGTGCACAGCTCCTAATTACAACCTGAACCAGTGGTGGAAATTCAATACGAAATTCCTATGGCAGGGGTGAATCTAAATGAAGGGCAACCATTGCTGACTTCCCCACGATGGACTGATACGCATTTTAATGATCCCAGAGGGACGAGGGACTGAGTAAACCCTCAATGACAATCTGAACTCGCAACCTTCCAATTGCAAGCTGCTCACTCTACCACGGAGGCACCTGCTCGGATGTTAGTGTGAATTCCAGTTATAAAATGCTTGTGCTCATGCTAGTGATTTCCGATACGTTGGGTCAGCACTAGCGCTGCAGCGGTAAGTGCCGCGACCTCAAAGTGCGCCGGGAGCCACTGCACGTGCGAGACGGGCGCTCTGTGTCCGTGCTCAATGGCGGAGACGGCGCACCAGCGCAGGCGGACGTCCTCCACAGACCCCTCGTCCTCCTCAAACGAGCGCTGAGGACACGGGGACACCGGGACACGGGGATGTGAACACAAGGGAACTTAAGGACATAGAGACGCAGAGATGGGAGGGAACTGCTTTTTGTGTTTAGTTTCTTTGTCCTTCCCCCGCACCTCCGATTAGCACAGTTGGCTACATACAGTGCAAAAGACATTCAACATACATAGGTACACAGAGACTGAGTGAAACAGGCATAGAATGCTCTTTGTTTTTTTCGGTAAAGGCACGTAGGTAAAAAATAAATAAGTAAAATAAATGGAACCGTATTTATTTATTTTTTACCTACGTGACTTTACCGAAAAAAACCAAAGAGTATGAATCCTTGCAGTCACGAAAGCTTCAAATCTAGAATTAAGGCATAGAATGGGATAGAGCCATGACAATTTGGAGACAAAGACACATACATGAGGCTATAGAGCCATGGAGACATAAGCACATGATGACATGGAGACAACAAGATATGGGGACAAGGATACATGGATATACAATATATAACCACGAGGATTCAGATACATGGTGACACATTGGGTTATGGGAGGATAGAGACACGCAGACATGGAGACACAGGGTCACAAAGGTGACAGAGACTGTCATTAGATGAGATGTGATGAGGTGTGGTGTGATCGGGGTTATTGTGGTGAAGTGTGCTACAATGTGGTGGGACCTGGTGGGTTTTGGTGTCATTCTCGGATATCTGGCGGCGTTGTGCGGTGAAAGTAGCGTGGTGTGGTGTAATGGAACCCAGTATGTTGTGTTGAGCCGTGTGGCGAGGATTGGTTGGTGTGGCCCAGAGTGGTAGGAGCCCTCTCACCCGTGCTCCTCTGGTGAGCCCGTTCTGGTGTCCGCCCGTCCGGCCAAGCTGTAGTTTTTCCACGTGCTCCGAGATATCCCACAGCACCACCTGCCACAATGGGGAGCGTCAGCCAGCGCCTTGCAAAAAAAACACAGAGTGATTTGGGTGGCGTGGTTTGGTGGAAGTGGTGTGTGTGTGGTCAGTAGGGGGGCTACGGTGGTGTGGTCAAGGAGGTGTGGTTGTGTGATTGGATTGGTCAGAGTAATATTCTTGAAGCGGGGTGGTGGAGGTGGTGTGTTCACAGTGGTATAGCCATAGTGAGATAGTCTGAATGGGGTGGCCACAACGGCTACGAGGATGTGGACAGGTGGTGTGGACGGAGCAGTGTGGCGAGAGCCGGGTCACCTGTCCGTTGAAGCAGCCCCCAGCGATGATGTTGGGGTCAGTGGGAGAGAACTGGAAACTGAGGATGTCCTCTGGTGCTTCCAGAAGTAGCTACACTCGGAGGTAAAAACCATCACCCACCATCGCACACCATCCCACATCACCATATATAATCATCACAATAACAAGCACCATCACCCACCAACAGACACCATCACACACCAACACTCATAATCATACAAAACCACAACATCACACATGGTCACACATTAATACATACCATCATAAACCCCATCACTTAGCAACATACACACACACACATCCAAAAACAAACGAGAAAATAACAACTCACCCCAGCACGTATTATCACACACCAACCCACTCATCACACACTCATGCACACCATCACACACCAGTGCACATCAACACATGCCAGACCATACCATCACACACCGACACACACTATCGCACATTGAGATTAGTGTGAGTATTCGCACTAGTGTAAGAGGTAATATATTACTAGGATTAGTGTTATGGATAGGGTATTTTTATATTTGGTGTTAGAATCAGTGTTTGGGCTATTAATAGTTTTTGGGTAAAATTGAGTGCTAATGTATATGTTAGGGTGAATGTTATTGGCACTGTTTATACTAGAATTAGTGTTAGGCTCATGGCTCGGTTAATATCGGGAATCCAAATTCGGATAATGTTGCATTGAGTGTTTGGGTTAGTGTTTGGAGCAGGACTATTGTGCTAGTGTTAAGGTCAGCGCAGTGGAAGTCAGGGCTACTGTTAGCGTGAGGGTTCATGTCAGAGCTATGCTCACCTGGGGGTGAATGGGGTCTGTGAAGCTCCAGATGAGAAGCAAGGAGGGGCTCACGATGAGGTGTGAGGAGCGGTCAATCCTCTCGTCAAATGACGCTCGCTCCACCATTGACACACACACCACTCCTGGACCCACCAGCATCACCATCATCAGCACCATAAACAGAATAGCAGCATCATAATTAACATGTTTGTGCATGAACATATGTGAATGAATGACTCTGGCCTGGGCCTTTGCTAGATCAACTAAGCCTTAAATGAGAACCTCATGCACTATGTAAAAATCAGTCCAGGCCACACCTCTTTGTGTGCCATTCCGGCCATAACTATGGCCATGTTGGCCACAATAGGTGCCTGTTTACGGCAATTTCGCCACCATTTTATGTAGACTAAATGGAGGATCTTTGTGTTTTGAATGTGTGTATGGGTTAATGCGTGTGTATGTATACTTATGTTGGGGGAAGCAGTAGTGGAGCACTGGCCAACTACCCTCCTGTATTCTTTGGGTCTTTCGGTAAAGTGACGTAGATAGGTTCATAGGTTCCAAGAAAATAACAAAAAACTACGTTTCGATTGCAACACAAGCGGTGATGACGACCGCTTGTGTTGCAATCGAAACGTCGTAGTTTTTGCTTATTTTCTTTGAACCTATCTACGTGACTTTACCAAAAGACCCATAGAATATGAATTCCTGCAGTTACGAAAGCTTTAAGTCAAGATTTACCCTCCTGTATGTCATTTCCGACCTTAATAGGTACTTGCTAACAGCACTTGCCCCGACAGCCTATTGATGGTTATATGGGAATCTTTTTTTTTACTTATGTATAATTACATGAGTTTGTGTGCGTGGGAGTATAGTGTGTGTAAGTCTGGCAAAGCGAGTGGCAGTGGTTAGCACACCCTGCTATGAACCTGACCACTGACTTGCATCATTGGCGAGTGACGTGTCAAACGATCCTGGGCCTCTCCTAGGTGCACTTAGTCCTACATGAGTGCCCTGTGTTTTCCAGTGGTCTTACCGGGCAGGCTGGGGTGCCAGTCCACGCAGGACACCGCACGCCCCTTGCCGCGCCTTAGGTCACTGAAACTCTGGTGCTCGCGGAACTGAGTGAGGGCATGACCCCCGAACCCTGAGCCTTCCTCATCCACCAGCGCCGCCCACTCGTCCACAAATACGTTCGCGATGACGCCCTGCTGCAGGACCATCTCCATTCTACACACATCATCACCATCACCGTTGTCGCCGTCACCATTGTCATCATTAGCATTAGCAGCATTATCATCATCGAGAACTGAAGCATCATCAGTGACAACAATGGCCTCATCGTGATCATCATCAACACCATTAGTAGCCACAACAGCAACACTCGTATCAGCAGCAATACCACCACCATCATTATCAATAGCAGCAGCATCATCATCAGTGGTACCAACAGCAGCTTCATCACTGCTTTCATAATCATAAATATCAGCAGCATCATTATCAACAGCAGCAGTACTAGCAGCATTATTATCAGCAGCAGCAGCAGCATCATAACCAGCAGCATCATCATCCTTGGCAACAGCTTCAGTATCATCACTGTCTTGCCAGTGCCAATGCACACTCTTTCAAGTACTCAGTTAAGGTCGATTCGACCTAAAGGAGGCCCAGGATAGGTTAAGAATCCACTCGGTACTAATGTTGTCCATGGCTAGGTATAAATGCAGGTTGCCAGGATCATAGCACTGTCTATGGAATGTCTTCCTTCTACCTATGTCTCCCTTCTCCCTGTATCTCCCTTCTGCCCCTGTCTCACTTCTCTGCCTCCCCTCTCCTTTCTCCCTGAATATAGTACCGAGGCAGTGCAGCGGATAGGAAGGTCTGCACGCTGCTGGAGGAGAGGAGGGTGGATTGCTGCTCCTCAGACATTGTGCGTGGCTCGCTTTGCGTGCAGGCGTTGCGTGGGTACCGCCTGTGAGAAACGGGAGAGATGGCAGGTGGATGAGTGAATGGCAGATGGATGAATACGTGAGTGTGTGCGTGCTTTGGCTGAGTGTATGATTGAGTGAGTAGTTGGATGAGAGGGTGGGTTTGTGTATGGTTGAGTAAGTAAGTGGATGGGTGAGTGTTTGGGCGAGGTATCTCTCACCAAGTAGTCTGGCTGCCCTGCTCACGAGTGAGCGGCACGGCCTGTGTGTCTGCATCCACCTCCATCCGGCGCAGGGAGAATGTGGGGTCTTGACATGAGGCACAGTCGACCCCACGCATCCGCCCGGGCTCCGCATCCGAGAGTTTGAGGGGTGACCCGAACTCACGCCTCGGACGGCTCAGACTGAACCGCAGCTGGGAGACGGGGACACACAGACACAGGGACACGTGAAACACTGAAACATGAGGACACAGAGAAACATGCTGGTCTTTGCGAATTGGTCAAGGCGGGCAGCATAGATGTCGCAGTATATCAATGGATTTTTTCAGCACTCCCCTGTGCTGCCCAAAACATAGCCGACAACACAAGTGAAATAAGGCTGGGGGGAAATACTAAAAAGCTACACTGTTGTTGCTGTTCCATATTACAGCTGACCATTATGAGCATTCAAACTTGAGACTTGCAGCCCATGCATACTGCTAGGTCAGCAGCGAGCACACAGGCCATGAGGGCAGGAACGGTACGCTGCTGGCTGGGTAGTGAGTGCCATGAGGGTGGATGTTAATGGGAAACCAGTGGCTGGGAGGTGAGTGCACTGCTGTGAGGGTAGAAGTCAAGGGCACACTGGCTAGGGAGGCTCCACCTGGGGCCGGGTTGGGAGACTGGAGGCTTCGTCGATGTCAGCGTCGCTGCCCAGGGAGACCCACGGACGCGACGATGGCGGGCGGTAGTCCAGCTTACCCGCTGGGACCGACGGGGAGGAGGAGGGCTCATCGAGGGCCTGAGGTGGCTGTGATCACATTAACAATCATTAGCATCGTCGCTGATTGCATCACCAACTATAGCAGCAGCAGCAGCACGATAATGAATGTTATATCAGTACTATCTTGAAGATCAGCAGCAGGAACACCAACATCATCATCTTAATAACCAGCAGCATTAACGTCACTCACCATAATAAACATTGTCAACATGGTTATTATTATCATTGTGAAGATTACCATGATCGACACTATCAACATCATCACCAGTAGTAGAAGGCCGAATATCAACATCAACAGCATCATCATCACAAGCATCACCATGTTAAATTACACTTCTAGATTTAAAGCTTTCGTTACTGCTAGGATCCATACACAAAAAAAATGTATATGCTCTAACTTTAACATAGCTATTTCTGTGACCAGTTACAAGCCAATCACTCAGCTATTTCAATGCTAAATTCGATGCGAATTCCTTTGTCAAGGGGTACCTCTGCAGATGTGTATACTTTAACTTAGCTATTTCAATGAGCCATTTCAATGCTAAATTATATGCTAATTCCTTTGTCCAGCAGCGCTAATTCCTTTGTCAAGGGGTACCTCTGCGGATGTGTATACTTTTAACTTAGCTATTTCAATTAGCCATTTCAATGCTAAATTATATGCTAATTCCTTTGTCAAGGCGCGTGGTCTTTTTCTTCTCACATAGCTTAAAGGTCGTGATCTAAGCGTGGCTTCTTCCACTCCAGCGCTGTCCTCCAGACAGTCTCGTCCCTTCACCTGATGAAGGCCGCTTGTGTTGTGGCCGAAACGTCGTGATTTTTTTTGTTATTTTAAATTGCACTACTGTGGATCATTTATTGCCCCTGTATCCCCGTTGTCTTCATGTCCCCATACCCCAATAAGCCCATGTCTCCATGTACACATGCTCCCATGTCCTTATGTCCCCATGCTACCATGTCTGACGTACTTACATTTAAGATGTTCTCCTGGGCTTCCTTGGTCACGACAAGGTAAAACTTCTGTCCATAGCGAAAATCAGGGTCGTATCCGATCAGCAGCTCCTCACACTCAGAGTCCTGGGGCACAACAGTGGGTGAATTAGTAAGTGCGTGCATGAGTTAGAGAGTGCATGCATTTGTGAATGTGGGAGTGATTAAGTGAATACATGACTGAGTAATGGAGTGATCACCCAACATTTTTATGAGCAAAATATTGGGTGATTGGTTGAAGTGAGTGTTTAGGTTTTTCGAAGGGTGAGAGTTTGAGTGAGTTCGTGGGTGAGTTCTTGAGTGAATGAGAGGGTGGGTGGGTGATTGTGTGAGCGAGCCATCATTGAGTGAGCTAGTAAATGAGTAAGCTAAAGAGTAGACCGGCTGGCTCCCCCGTGTCCATGCCAGTACCAGCAGGGTCTGTCTGAAGGGGTGGATGTCTGATGTGGCTCCACGCTGCCGCACGTCTGCGAGCAGCGTCTCTTTGGGAATGAGGCGCACAGGCGCCGCCGCCGTCACGTCCTCGTCTGCACGCAGCCCCAGCAGCTCCTGAGATTGTGTGGACAGGAACAGGGGCAACACTCCCGCAGGGGCTGCACGCACATAGCACCGGAATAATTATACATACCACACACATAGCACGGTACACACATACACGTAGTAAACACATACACGCACATATGTATCAGTTGTACGGTTATTTACAGCCCCTACACTACCACAACCACAACGGGTGATTCGTTCAATTGCTACGGATGCAGAAATTCATTATTTTATTTAACCTGCTGGTACTGATAGTGCCTCTAGTGGCTTAAGGAGTCACGTGAACACATTACACAACGCAAGTGATCTTAATCTTGTATCGTGAGCTTAAGAATGGGTATCATCAACGTATCATTCCATTCCCTCATATATACACATTGCACATATTACACACAAAGCCTGTACAAATTGGCATTCCGGAGCCAGGGTGGAAATTCCACATTACCACAGCCTCTATGAAACAGTTACTGTTGGCCTACAACAAATTGTGTGCTACCCCTGTGATCACTTTTGAAAGAATGAAGATGATACTTCGACGATTATTACTGATGTTGTATGATGAATCAACCCCCAAACAGGATTTGAACTTGTGACCCTCTGGTTGAGGCTTGAGCACTCAGACCACAGTGCCACCTGGCACTGATCATACATATACACAGCCCTTATGTCAATACACTGTTGGACAAAAATGCCTTCCCATCGGGGGTTGTTTAACCAAACTTTACCAAACCGATGAGTGTGAGTTGAAGAAGGCGGGGTTATGATTACAGAGGTGGTGGTGATTTTAATGGAGGTTATGATTTTCAAGATGGTGGTGGTGTCGATGGGTTTGTCAGTGGTGGCCGTGCATCCAGGAAGAATGTAATTTGATGGGTGGAGCACCCGTGATGGTTGCTGTCACCCACCCGATTCCACAATCATATCCTCCTGGCCATGCTGATCCTTGAGGTCTGAAACACGAAACATCTGCATCATTACCAATCATCATCACCACCAATCATCGACATCATCACCGATCAATCAATGATCAAACAAATGCAGCAACAGCAGCAGCATAATTGCAACACTCATCAGCAGCAACAGGTTGAGAATGCTGGTGCAGCTGATGATCATAACAATGCCTCGAATAACACTGCCTATCCAGGAAAACCTTACTGAGTCTTAAAACTCTTATTTCAGGAGGGTCCTGTATTGGAATGTTTGGCGAATAATACTAACGAGTGGCATGTTGGGGGAAAGCCAAAATACCCAGAGGAAACCCCTGATGCAAGCGATGGAATGAGAGCCCCTGTCCAAATGTCCCCCTCTTTGCAGACCAGCGTCTGAGGCTCCTGTGGCCCATAAACCCCCAGCGCAGTTGCGCACCACCTGCACACCCGATAGCTGTGACACTGCCGTGGGCCCGCTCACCGGTGGAGGCTGTAGATCGCTGCGTGCCACGGCCCGTGGAACGCGCGGATGTGGAGCTGTCTTTGCTGCGAGGACGTTTGGGTTCTTTCCTGGCGGACCCTTTTTTTACCACGCCGTCCGGCTTCTCCTTGCGTATGCCTGGCATCCTGGAGCCCGAGGAAGCCTGTTTGAAGAGACGGTCACTTGATCTCCCATCATCGCTAGCAGAGGCAAAATATTATGACACTCATTATATTTTTGAGAGTTGGTGAGGAAGTGAGTGTATGGGTTTATGCATGGCTGGATGAGTGAATTCATTAATTACTGGGTGGATGAGTGGGTCAGCGAATGATTGGATGAGTGAGTGCCTGTGTGAGAGAATGAATTAATCAGTGGGTTAGGGAGTGAATGAGTGGGTGAATACCTGGATGAGCCATGTGATGTGGGTGAACAAATGAATATGTGAGTGAGAGTGAACGAGTGGGTGAATGATTATGTGGGTAAATGATGAGTTTGTGGGTGGGGTTTGTGCATTGGTAGGTGAGTGAATGAATGTAGGAGTGGGTGGGTGAGTGCATAAATTAATGAGTAGATGGGTGGGACAGTGACTGAGCTAGTATATATAGTTCGTAGGGAAGTGCGTGGGTGATTGAGTGAATGGATGAATGAGTCGGTGTGGATTCGTTCATTCAAATGAATGAATGCGCACACGTGATCGCCCGAGGAAACTCATGCACTCTACACACAAAACGCTGACCCCATCTATAGTATAACAATCATGCAGGAACAGTTATTCGACGTTTAAAGTGAATTAGTTTCCCACCACGTGTGCGGAGTACCGGTACTCATCTCTTAATTACAGCTCTGAAGCAGAACCTTGTGGAAATCCCTCATTGCCATGACAGGGGGGGAGTCCATCCCAAGGATGATCGCTGAACAAAAGAGTATCGATATTGATTTACCAATAGAAATGTATGCAGAGCCCTTTACTCGTGAAGGCTTCCCTACGCAGTGGGAGTCATGGGGGCAGGAGGGTGGGGGAGTTTGCTGGACCATACTTCACCACGCTGGTCAGTGCGGATTGGTGAAGGGGCGACGGAGGGCAGGATACCACTCGCCACTGATGTTGGCCGAACTGGGCTGTTCTCCGGGTTGACAGCGCGTAGCAGTGCGCTAACCGCTGCGCCACCGCTCCACCAGTGGACGATTCCGACTGTGCAAATGCAGTACCTGAACACTGCACGGCAGTCGACGCGCGCTCAACAACAACAACCTAAACAATAACTCGGTGTCGTCGTTTCGTTCACACTTTACAACAAATAAACCGGAACCTGAGGAACAATTTAAACTTTTTTTGCCTCTTGCCGAGTCGCCTCGCCTGGCGCGTGGGGCGCCGCTGCCTGGACACGGTTGCCGTGGCGACCTCACCTAGAGTCGGAATCGACGTGAAGGTAATCGCGATACAAATTGAGAATCGTAATTATTGACTGGGTAAATTGATGAGAAGATCTCAGAGTTACTTTGGAGAATCTGAACGTGAATTCCACACCCAGCCCCGCCCCCACCACCATTACTCTGCACCATCGGCATCTTTTGATCGGTTCTTTGATTCAAAACTGAATTTTCAAGATCACATTGATTATATTAGTAAAAATACAAAAGTAAAAATTGGTTTTCTGTATCGACACAAGCACTGCTTCCCCCCAATGTTCCGCTTGGAATTGATAAAAGCTACCATACTGCCTCTACTTGACTACTGTGACATCGTGTATAAATCAGCCCCCAGTACTTTACTGAAGAAGCTTGACTCAATTTATCACTCGGCCTTAAGATTTGCATTGAACTGCCCATTGAAGGACTCACCACTGTGATCTCTACATTGGGTCAAACTTAACATCTCTTAATGATCGACGGCTTGTCCACCAGATCTTATTTATTCACGATGTACTTACATAAAAATCAGCAGACTACCTGCTGGATCTCCTCACTATTTCGAAGAACAAATGTGACCTAAGGTCTTCGCTCATTTACCAGCTTCACATTCCCTATTGCCGTACAAAAACCGGAGGAAGGGCCTTTGCTATTGATGCCCCCAGGGTCTGGAATGCTATTGCCAATAAACTGCAACTTGGATCACTACCTATGAGATCTTCACTCAAAACTTCTCTAGAGGAGTTGTACACCCCTAGCTGCCACTGCTATTCAGAATGGCCTGAAATAAAATGTATCGTTCCGGATGACCGCTGAAAAAGTATGGTCTTGAGTTTTGATTATAGTGTGCTGATCTTTAAAGGTCTATTGAAAAATGTTGATACTCCTGCTGTTATGGAGTGACTCATGCAGCCAGCTATGGCTGCTAAGTTTGGTCGTACATGTTATGTATATCGTTTATTGTTAAATTTGAATCAATTCCTATGATTACTGTTACATTGTTTTTATAGCTTTATTTTGGTGATTTTGAAAACTTTTGGTTTAGCCATGTTTGCTTGTTGTAATACAGAGTTAGCCTGATAACTTTAATCGAAATTGTCTTATGGTTGTTATTGTTAGACTTGAATCCCACTGGGATTTTTGCACACAGCGTCGAAGTACGGTGTTTTTCTGGAAGACTCTGTTTTTTCCTGGATTGTTCTGTTGCGTGTAGTCACTTCAAGATGTTTCTTGTTCATGTTTTTGTTTTGTTGCGGTTGCACTGAGTCAAGAGCCGCATGGCTCACAGGGTTATACCTCTCCATATATATAAAAGGCAAAGTTGTGATTATGTGTGTCTGTTCAAAATGTTTAGCGTACTTCCCGACATGCAACAAATTTGACATTTGCCATGTGGGTACTTTCCAGACTGTACACCATGCAAAAATTATAAAAATACACTTATATTTTTTTTTTGGGGGGGGGGGGGAGCTCAATAATGCATTTACTTTTTGCACAGCAAGTGAGCTGTGACGTCAAATCTGTCACGTGACCCTCGCATGTGGAAGCGTAACGCATTGTAATGTAGTGGTTAGCGCGCTGTGTATGTGTCTGTGTGTGTCTGTGTGTGTCTGTCTGTGTGTGTCTGTGTGTGTGTCTGTATGTGTGTCTGTGTGTGTGTCTGTGTGTGTCTGTGTGTGTGTCTGTATGTGTGTCTGTATGTATGTGTGTCTGTGTGTGTGTCTGTATGTGTGTCTGTCTGTGTGTGGAAGTGTAACGCATTGTAGTGTAGTGGTTAGCACGCTGTGTATGTGTCTGTGTGTGTCTGTGTGTGTGTCTGTGTGTGTCTGTGTGTGTGGAAGCGTAACGCATTGTAGTGTAGTGGTTAGCACGCTCACGGCCACCACCGGTGACGATTATTTTAACCGGTCCTGGGCCTCCCCTAGGCCGACTCAGCCTCAAACGAGTAACTGCTGTGGTGTGTGAACATCGCCACTGGGGGGACAAAGGCGTTCGGGCGTGGTTGAATCTAAGTCCCGGGCGAAGCCGGGTAGTAAAGCTAGTACCTAATAAATTAAACTGAAAATAATCGGAATCGCGACAGGAGTTCGTAAATCGACGAAAGCAAAATCGTCACAACGTCGCCGCTCAACCACACCCATGAAACCCCATCCTCATCGAGGCGATTCCATTCGGGAATCGCTTGTGAACATTCCAATTCGTAACCACACCAAAAGGAATGGGGAATCGATTGACTCTGGAGAAGTGGCACGGGAATCGAATCGCAACTGGCGGGTGTCCGAGGGGTGGGTGGGGGTGCTCAGGTGTGGCAATGGGGCGGGGCTTCTGGCACTGAGGACCCCACGTGGCTCTAGGATGGGAGTCTCTCATAATCCATAATCGAGGTGTTTTTTTGGGTTTATATCGTGTAAATGTATAAATGTGTCGTTAAATCCGCCACCACCCGACACAGCCAAAATCGCAACTCGTGGGTGCCCGAGGGGGGGGGGGGGGGGGGGGCTCAGGTATGGCAATGGGGCTGGCCGTCGTAGGGAGGGCCTCACGTGGCTCGCGATGGGAGTCTCTCATAATCCATAATCGAGGTGTTTTTGGGGTTAGATTAGTTCAGTTTCAAATGTGTCGTTAAACCCGCCACCACCCGCCACCACTCGACACAGCTTGGCTATGTTCGCTGGAGCGAACACAGCCAAGCACAGCGCTGTCCTCCAGACAGTCTCGTCCCTTCACCTGATGAAGGCCACTTGTATTGTGACCGAAACGTCGTGAGAATTTTATTGTGTTATTTTATTAATTTATTCTCATTCTACGTGACTTTACCGAAAGAACCAAAGAAGATGAATCCTTGCAGTCACGAAAGCTTTAAATCGAAATTTAGTAAGGTTTGTCACGTAAACAGAATGTGCAAATTCGTTACAAGTACAGCACACCGGTGCGTTAGAGAGCAAATCCACAACATTAAAAATGTGAGCCCCTCATCAATTTGCCATCGATGCGTTTGACAAAGCCAAGGTCAACGTTGATTTTGTTTTCCGGATGAGAACTCAAGAGAACCGGGATATAGTCTCATTTGCAAGAGTGACCTGATTCACGCATATCATAATTATTTATTTATCCTGGAGAAAAACGATGAGCTGTGAAGCTCTTTGTCGCAGATGATGAGGCGGTTTTCCAACGGCCACGAGCTATTCCACTCGGTCGACGTGAACCACGCAGTGCGCTCGCCAGTGCTAATCTGCCCACAGTTTAGTGGTGGCATGCGTGGATATACTCATGTGTATGTATGTTTAACTTTTTATCGCACCGTACGTAGCCAACCGTGCTAATCGGAGGTGCGGGGGAAGGACAACAAACTAAACAAAAAGCAGTTCTGAATTTAACTGAATTGAGTAATGTATACCAAATATTTATTTCATTTGTTATCTGATCATTCCCATGAGAAAAATAAGTTGTCTCTCGCTTCCCTCTTTTATCAGGCACTCTAGACCTTGCCAATTTAATTGGACCTCCACAGCTTGGCCATCACAATGTATCCTCCTTTTTCGGAGAACAAAGAAATGTATGTGTGGCCTTGTGTTCGACTCTGGTTGCGGAGCAGTTTGATTACTATCATGAGCACCTGGAGTAGGAGGGTGTCTCTGGCGCATTTTGAGCCAACCTCAAGGCCTTCCTCCAGGGTTCTCATTGTTACATAGCTCTCAAGTGAAACTCCTGTCTGTGGTGCCAAGATCTTTTCAATTAAAACACTAAAAAAAAACACTGCAATGCATGCACTCAATGTGTGTGGGGCGGGGCAAAGATGTTGGGGGCGGGGCAAAGGTGTGGGGGCGGGGCAAAGGCGGGGGGGGGGGGGGCAATGGGTGGCGGCAAAGGGGGGTGGGGCGGTGGGGCAATGGAGGGGGGTCGAAAAAGGCGTGGGGTGGTGCAATGGGGGGGGGGCAAGATAGGGGCGGGACAAAGGTGTGCGGGGGGGGGGGGCAAAGGTGGTGGGCGTGGAAAAGGTGTGGGGGGCGTTACAAAGGTGCAGGGATGGGGCAGAGATATTGGGGGCGGGACAAAGGTGCGAGGGCGGGGCAAAGATGCGGGGGGGCTGGGCAAAGGTGTTGGGGGCGGAGCAAATGTGTGTGGGAGGGCCAAATGTGTGTGGGGGTGGGGCAAATATGTTGGGGGCGGGGTCAAATGTGGGGGGCGGGGCAAATGTATGGGGGGGGCAAAGGTCCACAAAGTTGCGGGGGCGGGGGAAGTGGGAGGGTCAAATATGTTGGGGGCGGGGCAAAGGTGCGGGGGATGGGCCAAAGGTGTGGGGGGGGGTGGAGCAAATGTGTGGGGACGCGGCCAATGTGTGTTGGGGCGGGACAAATGTGCGGGGGCTGGGGCAAAGGTATTGGGGGGCAGGGGAAAATATGTTGGAGGCGGAGTAAATATGTTGGGGGCGGGGCAAGTGGGGGGGGGGGCAAAGATGTTGAGGCGGGGCAAAGGTGTAAAGATCAGGGGAAAGGTGTGGGGGCAGGTAATATATGGGGCGTGGCGACGGTGTGGGGGCGTGGCAAATATGTTGGGGGCGGGGCAAATATGTTGGGGGCGGGGCAAAGGTAGGGGGGCAGGGCAAAGGTGTGGAGGGGGTGGTGTTCTTCGACAGGAGCGAGGGGAGGGGGTATGGAGGGGGGGGGGCTCAGTTGGGGGGGGGGGGGGGCCGAGGGAACGGATAACCGAGAGGCGCCGGGGGGAGTGGCGCGTCAAGCGAGGCGCGACTCAAAGCGAGCGGATGCCGACGGCTTCGCACGCGCTCGCTCGCTCTGTCTCCCTCTCTCTCTCAAGACAGAAGATAACACAAGCACAGAACAAGAATAACCAAACCCTACAACTCGCCGAGAAATGACCGCGGAGTTTGTGTTCGCCTCCACATAGCGACACACGGAGGCCATCGTCGGAGCACGAGGAGGAGCACGAGGAGGAGGAGGAAGGCTGCCGCCCTGTACAGGTGAGAGGGAGCGCACCGCGCCCCCCCCCCCCCCCCCGTTCCCCCGTACTTGGCGGGTGACGCAGAGGCGCCACACCGCCCTGGATCCCGCGCTAGAAACAACGTGCCCCCCCCCCCCAGCCTTTCCTTTCCACACTGCGAAGTGCACTGCGCTACCAACTCCCGCGGCTCGAGTTGAGCCGTGTCTGTGTTGTTAGTGCTCGCTGGGGCCGGGGTGGGGAGGTTCGTGCGAGGGTTTTGTTGTGCGAGTCACTGGCGTTGCGGTTACCCGCGCTTTGCCCCACCACCACCACCAACTCTGACCGTGCCCCCCACAACAACAACAATTCAGGCTGTTATCGCGCTCGGGCTGACGAACCCGGCCACCCGAGTTCCATCAGTGTCGGGTTCCGTTCGATCCCAGCTCACGGCCGACACCACAGTGACCATTATCCCGAACCCGGTCGTGGACCCTCCAACCTAGGGTCGACTCTACCTTGGTGCCGGTGTGTAGTCAACGTCGCCGCGATAGGGGAGACAAAGGCGGCCGAGCGCGGTGATGCCCTCCCCCACCGCCTCATGTGCCGTGCCGACCTTCTTCATAGGTGCTGCTGCTGCTCGCCAACAACAGCGCTTGCCACAACAGTCTGTTGAGGCTTATACGTGGAGTTTTATTATGTGTTTCCTTTGTCCAGTAGTTAGTGCGTTCATGGCGTGTGATGCTGTGCGTGTGATGCTGATGCGTGTGATGCTGCTGTGCGTGTGATGCTGATGCGTGTGATGCTGATGCGTGTGATGCTGCTGTGCGTGTGATGCTGATGCGTGTGATGCTGATGCGTGTGATGCTGTGCGTGTGATGCTGATGTGTGTGATGCTGCTGTGCGTGTGATGCTGCTGATGCGTGTGATGCTGCTGTGCGTGTGATGCTGATGCGTGTGATGCTGATGCGTGTGATGCTGCTGTGCGTGTGATGCTGCTGTGCGTGTGATGCTGCTGTGCGTGTGATGCTGATGCGTGTGATGCTGATGCGTGTGATGCTGCTGTGCGTGTGATGTTGCTGTGCGTGTGATGCTGCTGTGCGTGTGATGCTGATGCGTGTGATGCTGATGCGTGTGATGCTGCTGTGCGTGTGATGCTGATGCGTGTGATGCTGTACGTGTGATGCTGTACGTGTGATGCTGATGCGTGTGATGCTGTGCGTGTGATGCTGCTGTGCGTGTGATGCTGATGTGTGGGGAGCGGTGGTGGAGCGGTTGGCGCTACGCTGCTGCGCTACGAACCCGGTGAGCCGAGTTCGAGTCCCGCTCACGGCCACCAACACCACCGGTGACGATCACAATCGGGCCCCCCCCCCCCCCTATGTCGACTCGGCCTCAAGTAGTAAACATCGCCACTGGGGAGACAAAGACGGCCGGGCGTGGTGCTGGGAACCCACCACCACCCCCCTCGTGTGCCGTGACGGTCTTCATAGGTGCTGCTCGCTAACAGCACTTGCCCCAAACAGTTTGTTAAGGCTATACGGAGGAGCTTTGTCTTTGTGTGTATGTTCTGGCATGTTTCTGCTGAGAGATTGTGTTTGATTGTGTAATGGTATGTGTGAGTTACATGGGATGTGATGGGGGTGTGTGTGATGTGAGTAAGGTGTGTGTGAGACGCAGTCTGTGATAGTGGATTTATGCGATGGTAGCGTAAGGTTAATGGGCATGTCCATCGTAAAATTGTATATCTTTTATTATGTAACCAGCTCCTAATGTGTGCCGCGTCTGTATTTGTGCTTTTGTTCATGTTTAGACCAAAAGTGTATGCGAGTTCCGTATATGTATATGTTTGTCTATGCTAGTACTGTGTGTGTTAGTATGTATGTGTGTGTTATGTGTGTGTTATGTGTCGGAGTGTCTTTGTATTGTACGTGTTAGTTTTTCTGTGTTGCTTGTCTGAGTACAGGATATGTAAGTTAAATACACATGCTTGTGTACATGTGCTTTATTACGTTCTGTGTGAGACGCTATGTATCTGGTGTTTTACGAATCGGCCTCAAGTGAGTACCTGGTGCGGTGTGTAGTAAACATCGCCACTGGGGAGACAAAGGCGGCCGGGCGTGGTGCTGGCCACCCACCCCCTCGTGTGCCACAGTGCCAGGTTCTGCTACTCGCTAACAGCACTTGCCCCAACAGTCCGTTACAGGCTACACGGGAGATCTTTGTCTTTGGTGACGTGTGACCTATCGCAAGGGGAATCTCCACGTGTAGGCCACTGTGCCGGCATCCGTGTCAAAATTGGCGAAATGTAATACAATTAACCCCCACAATTGACGCAAATTTGTATTTGCATAGCAATCATCGCCCCTCGGACAATAAAACGTGGTTGTATGACTCTTCCGAAAACGAATCATGGACTCGGTAGCACAAACGTACTTGCATAATCGGTCTGGTAACTCACCATAGAGCGAGTTGATTGCAGTCTAAATGGTTGCAATTTTATTTCCTAGTTGACTCGGCCCATTACTGTATGTCAGTATAAAGTGTGTACCAATTTGTGGGGAGGTGGTTTTCATATATAGAGTCACACTCCACCGTAGCAATGTAGAATTTCCACCGCTGGAAACAGATATCACTTGGACGTTTTATTTGTATGTGTCGTGGATATAGTTATACGAGTACAGTATAGGCATGTGTATACGAAGTATATATGTCTGCGTGTATATCTATATCTGTTAATATATACATGACTGCATGTTTGTCTGCATACGAGTGCATGTGTATGCAAGTACACGGGCAGTGGCGGTGGTTCTGAAAATACGCTGACCTTAGATCGAATTCCCTGCTATGGCCAACATCGGTGGCAAGTGCTGTCAGAACCGGTCCTGGTTCCTCGCCTCGGTCGACTCAGCTTTAAATGAGTACCTGGTGTAGTGTAACATCAGCACTGGGGAGACGAAAGGGGGTTAGCCGTGATTCTGGTCACACGACAACCCTCGTGGTCTGTTCCGGCTTGAATTGTTACTCGAAGAAAATGTCTTCACTTCCTGAAGACTGACAAGATTTTAACTAAAAGGAAATGTAAAAAAAGCCTTTTTATTTACCAGGTAAGACCTATTGATATATGTAGCTATTTTCAGAAGCAATCAGGCTACGAATGATAGCTCAATGAAGTGGCTTATAATGTGGGAATTTATGGCAGCAGCCAAATACTCTAAACGCATATTTCTAAATGTGGAGGGAAAACTGGAGGACCCAGACATATAAATTCACACCACCACGGGGAGAACATGCACACTCTTAAATATATAGGCGTCGGAGTCGGGATCGAACTCACAACTCCTGTATATCAGGCGAGGTAGTTAACATCTCAGCACCGTGTTAAATATCGTACACCTTGAGTTAATGTTTGGACAGAGGAAAGGATGATGAGGCAAGACCTCTCCAGGCAATGGCGGAATTCTCCACTTCAAGATACTATCAACTGAACGCCCGTGAGCTGTTCTTCTCACCCACTGCATCATTGCCGTTAACCGTAAGACTGACTGAAAGAAAAGTGCGTTTCTTTTGAATGAATGGGATCACCAGCCAATACTTTCATGGGTGCTATTTTGACTGTCGGTTTCCTTTCTCAAGTAATTTGATTGGACATTTACATATATTTGTAAATCTTTAAAGATTTCTAAGCTATATGGAATCTTGGTGGTCTTCACACATTTTTTTTCAGCGAGTTCCCTTGCCTGATACAATCACGTGTATTTCTGTCCGTTACATTAATTAAGATGACCATGCAGACACCAAGACATGCTCAATTTGTGTTACCAATGTCAGCAGTGATTCATTTTCAATGACATTTTTTTGAAGGATTTGCTGAGGATTATTCATGATTGGACAGTTTATATATTTTTTGCAGAACCTATGGAAACTGTTGTGTAATGATCACCAATGTGTGTTTTTTTTCTCAGAATACATCCAGACGCCATTGCTACCAGTGTATGTTGTTGGAATATCGTGCCAACTGCAGAAGTGATTTACTTTTTCACATTATGACAGGGTAGGCTGTGTTAACAGCTGAGTTAATAGTAACGACGTGAACATATTTAAGGAATGAGGTAGCAAGCTTTTTAAGCCATACAATAAAAATCCCAAAGAAGGATCCATTCAGGTGTCATTAATGGGGTTGCACACATTACGTAAGCATCTTTTTTCAACTTCGGAACATCTCACGTCTGAGACCTTATTTATCTGCTTCTGATATGGAAAGACTGATCCATGCCTCTGTTTTCAAGGATTAAATATTCAGAATAAGAATATTAATTTATACTGGTGGAATCTTATGAGCTATAAAGCTCTCTTTCACAGCTGTCCAGTAGGGGAGGCTCATTATGTTACAACAACAATTATTGCAATGCCGTTCTGTTTGGTGCCTCTGCCCAAGTCCTGGATAAACTGCAATATGTTCACAACTTGGCCGCCAGAATATTTTCAAGAGTTCCAGCTTGTGAACATAATAGTCTGGTATTTGCCCCTCTTCATTGGCTTCCTGTAAAGTTCAGAGTGGAGTTAAAAATTATCCTCCTGACATATAACGCTCTCAAATGTGGACGACCAAGTTATCTGACGTGCCCCTATTGGACATTTTAACCTGTCCTTACTGGACATCTATGGAAAAGAGCTTTATAGCTCATCGGATTCTTCCAGTAAAAATAAATGTTCTGATTCTGATCTCCCTGATTTATTAACCCCATATGAGTCGCCATCCCAAAGGCTTAGTTTTTTTATGGCATGAGCCCTGCGCATTTTACCGGATGTGGCTCCTATGCACAATTGGTGGCCGTGCCTTCTGTTCTGCTCCTCCTGTTTGTGGAATGCCTTTCCCAATGTTCACAATTCGGAGACAACGGCAGTGCTTAAACCCCACTTCAAGACGCGTGTATTCTCTCGCTTGCAGTTCTCTTCTCTAAATTAGCTTCTATATACGTCTTAGTTCCATATCATGAAGAGGCGGGCCTTGTCGACAGTAATATCTGGCCGTTCACCAGC